ATGGTATCACCGTCAACAGACTCGTCCACTATGAGGGCGAGTTTGTGATCACATACCCATACGGATACCACTCGGGATACAATCTTGGTTATAACTGCGCCGAGTCGGTCAACTTTGCGACTGAGAAGTGGTTGGATTACGGTCGTGTTGCCAAGAAGTGCCACTGCGAATCTGACAGCGTCTGGATCGATGTCGATGAGATTGAACGGAAGCTGCGCGGCGAATCGACACCAGAATACTACGGTGAATTTGAAAGTGACCTCGATGAATTCGAGGGTGCCTCCGACCTCCTTACCCCACCACGGAGTGTCCCAGAAAAGAGTAACCGTGGCCGGAAACGAAAGCATGACGGTGATTCCACAAAGGCGAAACGCATGCGAGTCAATGTCGAGGTTCCTCGGAAGATTCCGTGCGTGCTGTGTCCCAACAACCTGGACTATGAGGATCTACTGCCCACCGAAGATGGGAAAAATCACGCCCATCGGCGCTGTGCCCTATACACTGAGGAGACCAGTATCCTCCGTGACGAGACTGGCAAGGAGGTGGTGTGTGACATTGACAAGATCCCGAAGGCTCGCATGGGACTCAAGTGTCTCTTTTGCCGTGAGGTGCGAGGGGCTTGTTTCCAGTGCAATTTCGGCAAATGCACGCGATCATACCATGCCACCTGTGCACTTTTGGCCGGAGTGCAGGTGGAGCAGGGTGAGATTGCGGTGATCGCGGATGACGGCAATCATTACTCCCTCCCCAGTGTGGACCTCAAATGCAAATACCACCGACAGAAGAAGCCAAGCTGGATGACGAGCGGCGATTCTCCCGATTATGACCGCAAGCTGATCGAGACGGCCCACCGGATGGTGGCAGGGGATTTGGTACAATTCCAGGCCGACAAGGAGATCAATGGGGCAGTGGTGCTGGAGAACCGACCAGCGGAACGGACGTTGCTGGTAAAAGTGCTCCCACGAGGGTAAGCTATTTTTTTTTTTTCTTTTTCTTTTTTCACACCCACACCCACACCCATACTTGTTTTGTTGTGGTGTTTAGAATTTTCCTGATTCGGAAATCATGACGCTGACCCCCTGTTCCACGATTTAGAGATGTAATTGAGTTACCGTACCGGTGGATGCTTGTGGTACGGCGGAGCAACTTCTCGCCTCTGGCACCAGGAACAAAACCACTGCCTGCCCACTTAGCCCGGAAACCCGAGGGCCGGAAAGAGTTGGAATCGGCCCTGCCGGTGGTTGGCAATCCATTTGGCGATGGGCGATCTCCGTATCAGTGGGCCGAGTTCGAGACGGTCGACACGACTAATCACCGCTTTGCCCCACCACCAGTGCAGGTGAACTTGAACAAAGGTGACCAGGTCTGGTATTATTTGGGCCAGTCATCGACCGAATGTAGGGCTCAATATACGCACAACCCTAGCGTGCCCGTCCACAACCCGCGGTCGAATTTCCTGGACAGCGTGAAGTCTCTTGGCGCCGTGATGGCCCGGCTCCCCTCTTACCCCCACCGCCATCTTCCTCAGTATGCTGCTGCCCCTCCTCATCACCTTTCACCTGCTGGTGCTGCTGCCGCCGCCGCCACCGCCGCCGCTGCTGCCTCCCGCCCTTCCCTCCTGCAGCGACCTACTCTTGCCCCTCCTCCTCGCACCCCTTCTTCTGCTGCTCCTCCTGCTAGTTCTGCGATGCCGTCAGCCTATCGGTCCCTGCCCACTCAATCTGCCCGCCATGCTCCGTACCCTCAGATCGCCAAGACTCATCATCAATCACACCACCTGTCTCAGCAGCAACACAGTCCGCAACAACAACAACAACAGCAGCAGCAGCAGCAGCACAGCCACCAACTCCCCGCGAATACCTTTGCCAATGTCCGGGAGCTTATTGCTCGTCGCCGCCTGGCCCAGATCACCGACCATGCCAATGTCTTCGCCGGGTATACGATCGTCAGCCCGGAGCTAGTCGTTGAGACGCTCCTGGGTCCCATGGGCTCCGTGCCGCCGCCCAGTGGCCTCGAGAAGCTGGAACTCGCCATGGCCCAGCAACGGGTCCAACCTCGCGCCCCCGACGGAACTTTGTTACCCCTGCAGCCACTCAATATGCGTTCCGAAGAGGTCACTCGGTTGTTGCAGATGCTCCGGTTCTCCCTTGTCAGTCACCGCGATCGGCTCGATGTGCTTCAGAAGAAGGAGACGGAAAATAATAAACAGGAGAGTGCTCACAAGGGCGGTGTTGCAGCTGTCAAATTGCCTCGCAAGTTTGCGTATCTGGAGCAGCAGCGTGAACAGTCGCCGACCGTCTATCAGTCCCCGTACGACATGCCTTCTGGCTTTACCGAGTATGCCCAGAAGACGTTCGGGCTGACTCCATCCGAGCCGGAGCTCCCTAAACCATCGCTGGCCAACGACTTCTTCGCCAGTCTCTCCCCGGAGGACCAGGAAAAGATTCTGAAGACCTGTGGCAGTTTTGTACAGCGGGCTATCGAGCGGTCTACAAGTCACAGCCGTCAGAGCTCCGCATCGAACCTCCGACTCGCATCGGCACTAGCCCAGCAAACCGAGAATCCAACGATAGATATAACAACCGTCGAGGACATGCCATTGTCAGGTCTGGATTTCCCGCTACACGCGGACTCTCCGTGCTCGAGTTTCAGCCGGGCGCACCTGCGCTTCCAATCACCGAACGATTTCAACGCTCACGGACCAGAAGCGCATCACGACCATCATGACCTCTTTGGCGACCAGCAGGCCAACACGCGGTTCTGGCAGCATGGGCCCTGGGCTGCTGGCGATGGGAACACACCCAACGAAGAAACTCGGCCATTTTTTGGACCTCACGAGCGGTTGAAGCACGACTATGCCTCATCGGACATCTCCTTGGGTCGAGGTCCCGGCTCTTTACATTCTGTCGATATGGCTGGGTTCGGAATGGACGCCACGGACGATCTTTGCAACGTTCTTAGTCCTTGAATCGGACAACCCCCCTCGACTTTGTGTACTTGCATGCCGGTATAACAGCATCATCTCCATGTAACGATTTGATTGACGACTGCATGACTGGGCGTTTTCAGCTTTTGTGTTTTCATTTCTGATTTTCATCTTTTGTGACCCCTTTGGATCTTATTTTTATCACGACGGAGTTTGACGATAGCTGGCTGGTTACGACCCAGCTGAGGCCTTGCGACGAGGCCGTGGTCATATTACCTATTTATCTCCTACTTGACGGTGAAGGCCACCGATGTACAGGCTAACGGAGGTTGAGAATCCTTCCAAAGTGGCGGTGGGAAGCGCTCGCCAGGTGGCAGGGCCGTTGTTGATGCCCAGACTGGCCCACCACCCGCCCAAGACCCGCCCGGCTTGTTGTTGACGATACCTCCCATCATTTCCCCTCCTTCCTCACTTTCTCACCTCCTCACTTCCCCCTTCTGTTTCTGTTCATTTTGTCCCTGTCCGCTCCCCTTCTGCTTCCCGTTGTGGAATTTCGGGACTTCGACTTTGCATCGAAGATACTGGGCCTACTTTCGCCCTGGACTGCGGACCTCACGTACGTTAGATTCAAGAGAAGCCAAAAAAAGAAAAAAGCCATAATTCAAAATTCCCGAGCAAGTCCTGTTTCCATAATCCTATACACGTCACGCCCCTTGTTTGATACCCCCCCGATTTCCCAGTGTTTCACCACGCTCGGACGTTTTCATATCCCTCAACGGTTCCCTCCCATTCCTGTCGTTTCCAGACCCCCTCCACCTTTTCTTCTCTTCTTCCCTGGCGCTCATCCTTGTCTTTGTTCCGACCGTGGTCCATGAACTGATGGACGGCTCTCTGTTCTCGCGAGGGAGAACCGCGGATAGGACAGTTAGCGGATGTGGCAGCCGTCACTTTCCGAGTGACACTCGCAGATACATGTATGTTGGAATGATAGCTGTGAATGGAATGTTAAAAAATATATAACACCGTGTGCCCGATGGGGAGTGATTCGTAGAATTCGGCCGATCGAGTTAGGATAAAGCTAAGCCCTCAAGGGGCGGTTCGGTTCGGCCGCAGTGGCGGACCGGTTGTGAATATCCTTTGAATCCCCCGCATTTCGGGAGGGCAAGTGTGGTTCCGTTGGGTTGCACTCCACCGCATGGACCATAGGACGCTGCTTCCTTAGCTTGCTCCTGAATACGAGGGCCACCAGCTCAATCGCTCTCCTCTCTCCCTAGGACCGTCATTCAACCATCAGACGTCACTATGGTCCAGGCCTTACGTAGTGCCCACGGGATCTATGCTAGGGTTCAAGATGTCACGTTGAGTTTCCGCTCCCTTGCAGACGGGGGCGTTGTACATTCTGCAACATGTCATGCATTTCAGCGGCAAACCAAGGCACTTGCACGGTACCAACCCGTTGGACGTTCGGGCCTGACGTCGGGGGGGTTAGGCTCCCCTTTTCGTTGGCCTGCTATCTATCTAGTCTAGATGTCAATTAGGCAAACAAAAGAACGGGCGCGAGGGAGACTGTCGTCTCTGGTCTATCCTTCATGGTGGTATCTGCCTATCCGGCCGTCCGCCTAGCCCTGATAAGCACACAGGATAGGGCTTAGTAGGTCTAATGATAACCTCGTGCAGAACGCTTTATAAATCCCACGGTTATCAGCGCGGTCTCGGACCGCCCATCGTTAGTCCGACACCGGATTGGCTTATCAGTCGATCCCACCAGTTTTAGGCTCCGTGAGGGGACCATCCAAGGCTCCAAGTGGAGTTGCTTAAGGTTCCTGGTCTCGTGTAGTACCCCGGACTCTTGGTGATGCAAGCCGGTCATGGATGCTATACGTACTACTACTTATATGCCTCCGCGCCCCGGCCTTAGCCTGGCCTGGGTAGTCGAGGTCGCTGTGCTAGTAGGAGCTGGTCTGACTACTACCGTCCTGCTCTATCTTTAACCCCTATCGACCGTGTCGGGATGCATCTGGATTCCCTCCACATCTGCCGCCCCGTGTCTTTGAGCTCTTAATTTCCTACCGTCATGCGTCAAGGCTCCGCCGATGCCAGCGCCGACGCGGCGTTGGCCCGGATGGGCTACAAGAGTGAATTGCCTCGCAACCTGAGCATGTTGAGTATCCTCGGTCTGTATGTGGTTCCCCGCGCTCCTCTGCTCTACCGTCAATGACAACTCACACCATTTCTCAGCTCCTTCGCCATCATGGCCGCACCCTTCGGTCTCAGCACCACCCTGTACATCACCCTCACCGACGGCCAATGCGTTAGCATCATCTGGGGCTGGGTCCTCGTCACCATAATCTCCATTGGGATCGCCGCCTCCCTCGCCGAAATCTGCGCCGTGTACCCGACCGCCGGAGGCGTCTACTACTGGAGCGCCATGCTGTCGACGAGGGAATGGGCCCCGATGATGTCGTTCGTGGATGGCTGGCTGACCCTCGTGGGGAACTGGACGGTCACCCTGAGCATTACCTTCTCCGGGGGACAACTGATTCTGAGTGCCATCTCGCTGTGGAAGGAGGATTTCGTGGCCAATGCCTGGCAGACCATCCTCATGTTCTGGGCGGTGATTTGGTTCTGCGCGATGGTCAACATCTTCTTTTCCCGATGGCTGGATATCATCAACAAGGTGTGCATCTTTTGGACTGCGGCGAGCGTGGTGATCATCTTGATTACCCTCCTGACCATGGCGGACCATCGCCATGACGGTGCATATGTCTTTGGTCATTATGATGCGTCGCAGAGCGGATGGTAGGCTTTCTCCCCTTTCGTTTTGTTGTTTCTCGATCCTCAAAGTCCGACTGACGCTCTCGCAGGCCATCGGGATGGGCCTTCTTCGTCGGCCTCCTTCAAGCTGCATATACCTTAACGGGGTATGGCATGGTGGCCGCCATGTGCGAAGAGGTGCAGAACCCACACCGCGAGGTTCCGAAAGCGATCGTCCTCTCGGTCGTCGCCGCCGGCATCACCGGCGTAGTCTACCTAGTCCCTATCCTCTTCGTCCTGCCCGACGTCAAGATGCTGCTCAACGTCGCCAGCGGCCAACCCATCGGCCTGGTCTTCAAAACGGTCACCGGGTCCGCCGGCGGCGGATTCGGTCTTCTCTTCCTGATCCTGGGCATCCTCATGTTCGCTGGCATCGGGGCCCTCACCGCCGCCAGTCGATGCACCTACGCCTTCGCCCGCGACGGCGCCATCCCGGGATTCCGCATCTGGCGTAAGGTTAACGACCGCCTCGACGTGCCCGTGTACGCTATCCTGCTCTCCACCGTCATCGACTGCCTCCTCGGCCTGATCTACTTCGGGTCCACGGCCGCCTTCAACTCCTTCACGGGTGTCGCCACCATCTGCCTCTCCACCTCCTACGGGGTGCCCATCCTCATCAGCGTGATCCGCGGTCGCCAGGCCGTCAAGGAGTCGACCTTCTCCCTGGGCCGCTACGGATACGCGATCAACGTCGCCACCATCTGCTGGATTGTCCTGGCCGTGGTGCTCTTCTGCATGCCCGTTTCGCTGCCGGTCGATGCGGCGAGCATGAATTATGCCAGCGTCGTGTTCGCGGGCTTTGCCGCCATTAGTATCGCTTGGTATGTCGTGTATGCCAGGAAACATTTCACGGGCCCGCCGGTCACAGGCGACGAGGTGGCCGACGTGATCCCTGGCAAGGCTGTTGATGCCGAACATGCCTATCCGGACGATGCGACCCTTGGGGAAAAGAAGTGATTGGCCCTTTTCTTCTTTCCTCCCCCCCCTGGTCTTTTTGAAATTACGATCGATGAAATAATTTTGTACTGTTCGGTGTTTTTCTTTTTTTTGGTAGTCTTTCACATGTACATACGAGGACTCTATGTTGCTGGAAAGTAAATAAATAAATACAATCAATCAAGCTAGAATAAACCCAACCAGCGCGATGAACATCAGAATAGACCGACATCATTGTCGTCTAGTCAAGACGAGAAGACATAAAAATAGTAGATATATATATTCGAGATAGTATGGCCTATCGATACGTATCCGTTGGGGGGGAAGCGCAAGTTGCCATACCATTGTCACAGTCCAGCGCCAGCCAAACGACCTCCGAGAGCCGCGGTTACTTTTCCACCCACTGACAATCCACCAGCCAGTCTCAGAGAGTTCAACCACCACCGATCTACTCACTACGACAAAACTAACCAACCACTTACTCTTCCTCCTCGCTCCCTATCTCGCCCTCACAGGAACTCCCAAACAAGAACAAAAAAAAGGGGGGGCGCAAGAATCACAATTCCAACATTCCACCCGAATTGAACGCGCAACAGAAACGAAACAGCGCAACCAACCTCGCTCAATTCGCCTGCTGGTTGTGGCTGGCCGGAAATCCGGGGAAAGCTTGTAACCTTCGGGCACGCCCCCAAGTGGTGTTTCCTTCGCTTCTCCTGGTCCTGACTGTTCTTATCGGTGGATTTGACCTGTCGGGCAGTGTGTATATTATTCGGTTTATGGGCGTGGGCTTCCTTTTTTTTGTTTTTTTTCTCTCTCTCTCTCTCTCTCTTTGCACACGCTCGTTTGGTGAGAGTTTCTTTGGGGGGAACAACCGGCGGTTTTTATCGTTATCCATGACGGTGCTTATCTGTGCCTGATCCTTTTGCTCTGATGAAGCGAGCAACTTACATAACATAGCACCATGTCGGATTCTGTGGGTATGTCTTCTTTTTCTTTTTTTTTTTCTATTTTATTTTTGGGTTAAGGGTTAAATTGATATTTATGGTTTCTGGGTTACAGATCGAGTCTTCGTCCACGCCCTCAACACCGTTAAACGCATCCCCCGTACCGGCACCGCCCGGCCGCCGGCCTCCGAGCGATTGAAGCTCTATGGCCTGTACAAACAAAGCATGGGTATGGATCTACCCCGATTCTGTCTCGGAGAAGGGATATACTGACGGGCAGGGGGAAAACAGAGGGCGACGTGGAGGGGGTGATGGATCGACCGGTCGGGAATACGGCGGATGTGTATGCGGAGTGCGAGAAGTGGTATGTTCTTCCCCAGTTCCATTTCTGTGGTCGGGCGAACTTGATACTGAACGACAGAGAAACAGGGATGCATGGTTCGCGCAACGCGGATTATCCCGCACCGAGGCCAAACGCCGATACATCTCCACGCTCATCGAGACGATGCACCGCTATGCGTCGCAGACGCCCGAGGCCCGCGAGCTGGTTTCCGAGCTCGAGTTCGTCTGGGACCAGGTGAAGATCAATACCTCTGCCGCGTCCTCCGCGTCGAGTAGTAGTAGTCCCGTGCAGGCTGTCGCCCCGCCCTTGTCCCTGTCCCAGCCCAGCTACGCCAGTATCGGGGGTCGCTTGGCTCGCCCCGACTATGAACATTTGGTGGCTACGGCGCGCGGCGACTCGCGGTTACGCGTGCTGAGTCCGGTTAGTCAACCGGAGGAGGTGTTTCAGCGGCACAGGTCCCGTGGGGATCCGGTACCGGAGGAGGACGAGGAGGAGGAGGAGGACGAGGAGTATGCGGAGGCGCAGGATAATCTTGACGAAGATGATGACGATCATGACCATGACGATGGCTCTTATAACAATGGCCCCGCGGAGGGGAGTGAGCTGGACGCGGATGAGGCGGTTCTACGCGGTCGTGGGCGGACGGGCCCCAAGAAACCCCCCGATGTCGATAGTCGGCGGTGGCGGCGGCGAGTCGAGCAGGCCTTGACGAAGATGACCGCCGAGATTGCGGCGGTTCGGGAGCAGATGGAAGCCCGCGCGGTGGCCCATCGGCGGCGGAATAGCGTCTGGGCGTGGCTGAAATGGCTCGTCTGGGTCACGCTCCGCCAGGTCATCTGGGACCTGGCAATCCTGGGGATGCTGCTGATCTGGATGCGGCTTCGCGGGGACCGGCGACTGGAGAGTAAGCTCAAGGTCGGGTGGGCTGAGGTGAAGACGCGGTTGTTGAAGTTGAAAGGTCTTCGACGGTTGTCCAAGGTACATAAATGCCCTTAGTGTGGCTTTCTTTTGTTTTTCTTCGAGTACATATTCTTCATATATCCTGATTAGATTCCCTTGTCTTTCGCTGTGATTTCTTTTGTCATGCCATGTTAATGTCAGGAGGTTGGATTGGTGTTGGTTAGAGTCAGGGCTTCACTGTATTCTAGCATAGAAGTCGCGTTGTAATTGCCAAATAACTCAAGTCCTTCAAATACCAGATCGAAGCTGTAGACACGACACCACTAGACCGAGAAACCAGGACACTCAATTCCTATGCTAATATGTACACATACAAACAGTCCACAAACCAGACCAGACCAGACAGACATAAAACAAAACCTAATACTGAGGACCAGGGAACTGAGCATAAATCTGCTTGGGACGCAGATGAACCGGGGTCTGGTTCTCGGGAGCGCCGGGGATTGTCTTCTTGAGGCCCTGCAATGAATCCATTAGCCAACACGACCGATCCGAGAACTGATACTCAATGCGGGAGACCAACCAGCTTGTCAAAGACACACTTATTCAGCTCCAGCTCGGGCTTCCGGCATTCCCACAGATTGTGGTTGTTGTTCTCAAGACACTCCCAGTGCGCGGTGAATTGTTTCAGGCAGTGGGTGTTGATATCTTTGATACTGCATGCAGTTAGCCACCGACCCCTCTCACCACGCCACCTCCCCCGGAGACCTGCGAATAGCACCCGCAGAGAAGGAAGAAACATACACAGAAGCAGCACATCTCGTCACCTTCCGGCCCTCCTTCAGACAATCGAACTCCCCCCTTCCATTGGCGTCCTGCTTGCACTTCATGTAGTCATCATTGAAGGCCTTGCACCTGTCGCCGATGAAGTACGCCGCACTGGTCAGGGGTGCCGAGGTTGCGCCGACTTCCTGGACACTGGGAATGTCCGCCGGCATGGGCGTGGTGTCCACCAGGACCTGTTGGTTGAACCTATCATGGAAACCGCATTAGCGTCTCGTTCGATTGGACACGGACAATACCGGAAGCCGTAGTCCATTGGGACCGGGGCAGGAGACAGAAACATACTGAGGTTCTCGGGCCGCCATTTTGTCTGGTCGTAAGCGTGAATTGGGGAATTGGGAGACCGTATAGAGAGGAGGGCCTTGGATGGACGAGTCCGGGTGATGCTGGAGTTTGGAGGTCGGTTTTTGCTCGTCTGTCATTGGTCCGTTGGGGTGAGTTATGTAATATGTATGCCTGAGGCCGCGTCTGATCCCGCATCCCGAGGCGGTATACCCTGCCTGCCTCAGGCGGCAAGAACCTGTTGCTGCCGTAGCTGTCTCACGTGATACGGCGAAAAACAAACCAGCTTCCCGACACAAGTGAACGAGTGAATTGAAGGAAGTCGCCTGTTTCAATTGCAGTGGTTCTGCACCCCCGACCCTCTACGAAGTTGCTGCTTTGCTGCAGCGTGCGGTGCTGAGATATCGGACCGACACTGAATTTGCATACGCGCAGGACGGTGACAATCTGCGATTCTCTGTCGACCGACTTTCCCATCTGCAGAAGACGACGTTTGGTGCGGAGCTTTGGTATTTTTTTTTTATTTTTTATTATTTTATTATTTTATTTACTTTTGAGTGTTGATATTGAACACACCATTTTTTTTACCAGCACTGTTCGCCTCACGTTTCCCCGACTCACACTCCGCTACGTACCGTAATGTCTCTCTTTGGAAATCAGACTCAGACCCAGCAGTCCGGCGGACTGTTTGGGTCAGCGACGACCGCGAATAAGCCCAGTCCCTTTGGCGGCGCTGCCACTGGCGGAAGCCTCTTTGGCTCGAATACCCCCGGAGCGGGAACGCAGCAGAGCGGCGGCGGTCTCTTTGGACAGACACAGAACCAGGGCGCGACAGCGGGTGCTCCTGCTGCTGGTGGTTTGTTCGGTGCGTCGGCGGCAACACCCCAGCCTCAGCAGAGCGGTGGTCTTTTCGGCAACACTGCGACACAGAATCAACCGCAGACGGGCGGACTTTTCGGGAATACTGCCACTCAGCAGAAGCCCGGCGGTGGTCTCTTTGGGGGAGTGGGCCAGTCGACACAGCAACAGCAGCCGCAGCAGCAACAATCGGGCGGTGGGTTGTTCGGGGGTGCGCTGGGTCAGCAGAAGCCTCAGGGCAGTCTGTTTGGAGGCACACTGGGACAGACGACACAGCAGCAACAAGCGCCGCAACAGGGCGGTGGTCTTTTCGGAGGATTGGGTCAGACACAGCAGCAACCGCAGCAACAACAGAGTTTGTTTGGAGGCACCGTACTAGGTGGTCAACAACAGCAACAGCAGCAACAACAACAGCCTCAATTGGGCCAGTCGGTGCAACAGCCCGGCTCGAGTCTTTGGTCGCCCGGCCGCGCGGTCACTGGAGGTTAGTCTTGTTTATTTGATTTCTTGTTGGATGTGCCATGCGCTGACTCTCGTAGTACATCGCACCGTTCCGACACAGATTGCCATCGTCAAGGATAAATGGGATACCGGCAGCCGTAATTCTCCGTTTCGAGCATACTTGTATAACCATGTCGGCGAGGAGGCGGCACCTTTCTACCAACCCGGTCCGGACGACGACGAGTCGAAGTGGGAGGAAGCATTGCGCAAGCGGCCCGCACCAGGCTATGTACCTGTTATTGTGAGGGGCTTCTTCGAGCTGGGCAAGAGAGCCCAGAGACAAAAGGACTTCCTCACGATGATGCAAACCCGCCTTCACGAGATCAACAACTGTCTCACCGAATTGCTCTCCCGTCACGACCTTAAGATCTCCGTCCGGATAGCCGATTGCCGGCGGAAGCACCTTGTATTGAGCAAACGGTGTCTGGCGCTTGCGGCCAAGACCCAGGTCCTCCGCAACCGGGGCTACGCGATGGACGACGCCGAGGAGGAGCTGAAGAAGAAACTTGCCCTGCTGGAACGCTCCGTTTTCGACCCCTCCTTGAATGGACGCGAAGAAGAGATCTGGGCTCGCATGCTGGCGATCCAGGAACACTCGAAACGCCTGCAGCTGGAGATGGAGAAGGCTGGCCCGAGTGCAGCTGCCCAGGCGGATGACGAGCTGGACGACCAGACGATGAAGACTGCTAAGAAGGTAGGGATCGAACCTCCCATGACTACGTTCTGACCCCTACTAACCGCATCTAGATATTGGATGACTATCATACCCAGATCAAGCACCTGCAGAAGGAACTGGAGTCCGTGAGGAAGGACTTTGAAGAGGCAGAGAAGCTCCAAGGCCGGGTAGATCACTAGCCTTGTACTCGCTACGCTACGATTGATCTTGACCCTCGGGGGGAATACATGGCTTAGGTTGAATGTCCGGGAGCAAGGAGTTATAGGAGCTGGTCATCTGCAAATTCATCCGATTCGGAACCCCTTAGATAAGAAGAAGAAAAACCCAAAAAACCGACACTTTGTCATTTCCCCATCTGCATTCTATATTTCCGCAATGATAACCCGAATGTACAATAATAATACATCTCTGCCGTTGGCTATTGGCACGAGCAAACAGACAAAGTGACGCCGTCTAATGAATCCCCGTCATAACGTAGACCGTACGAATTATGGACCGCTTAAAGGAACTTCTTGACGAAATCGATAGCGAAGGGAGCTGCGCTAGTCAGCTTCGTCTGTCTTCCCAGCAATATGAAAACAAGACAAGACAGGGACCAGGAAACAACTCACAGAGATACAGAAGGATACCGCCGGTGATGGCAGAGCGGATAGTCTGCTGGGCCTCCTCCTCACCAGCCTATACCCTATCATCAGCATTTCCCATTCAAATCACCATCATGATAAGATCAAGCAAAGAAGCATACTCTAATCTGCTCCTTAGAGAGCGTTTCCTGACCTAAACGACAAAAAAACACAGCATTAGCCCGACCACTCCTCAATAAAAAAAAGAAAGAAAAAAAAACACAGGACAAACATACCGGGAGCGAACATCTTGTACTAAAAAGGGTAAATGTTAAAAAGAAGGCGAACCGGCAACTTGAGGACAATGACAATAGCGGACTTGGTTGAAGACTAGGAAAGTTAGGTACGCTAAGTTACGATGAGTTCAAGAGGCTACGATTCTGCCAGCGCACGGACCAGCAGCGGAGGCGGAATTTCTGCGGTCAATCTTACTTAACCTTTAGTCCCGTCGTCAGTGTTACTACTTGAGCGCGGCATTGGGTTTCTTTTCTTTTCTTTTCTTTTCGTGTTTTTTTTTAAACCCATCTTACTTACTTACTTGCTTTTATCTGCGGGTTTACCTTCTTGTCGCTTTTAGATTGTCCTCCCGATAGTATCTAGGAGAGAAAGTGAAAGAGGATAAACCAATCAGTTCCTCAAGAACATATCAGTTTTCCCGTCGCAATAGCAACGGAGCGAGCGCCTGGCGCTATCGACCTGCTTCATTTTCTACGAAACATACACGCCCTAGACACACACACTGAGCCAACATGTCCGCCAGTCCTGAGATCAAACCGGTCGAGGAAGACCCCGTTCAAGCGCCTACTCCCGGCGCCGGCGATGACGAGCCCCAGGGAGTCGAGGAAGCATCCGCTGGCGACGAGGTTGCGGACGAGGACGCAGCAGACGAGAAGGACATCGGGTCCGATGACGAGTCGATTCTGTCGGAGGTCGACGAGGCGCAGTTCGAGGACTTTGATCCCGAGAATGTCGACGTCGAGGATCGGCCGCAGTTGGCGATTGATGAGGATAATCTAAAGCTGATTGGGCGACATAAGCGGAAGAGGACTGAGGATGGGGAACGGTCGACGCGCAAGCGGGAGGGACGCAGGGAGAAGAAGAGTCGCAGGTTGAGGGACTTGGAGGAGGCTGGTGATGATGATGGGGAGGCCAAGTCGAAGAAGAGGGAGAGGAAGCGGAGGGAGCCTACCCCCGAGGATGATGAGACGTTGGATCCTGCTACTCGTATGTTTCTTTCTTTTTTCTTTTTTCCATTTCTTCCTTTCTTGGTGGGGCTAACTGGAGTAGGTCGTCGTAGGGCTTTGGATCGTGCTATGGATGAGGCGCTTAAGAAGCCTACTAAGAGGCGTTTTCGCAAGGCGGATGGTATTGTATGTTTGATGTTTGATGTCGTTGGGTCTACTACTGTGTGACTGGGCGCTAATTTATATGACTAGGACCTGGAGCAAATGGCCGATGCTGAGATTGAGGATATGCGCAAGCGCATGACCCATGCTGCTCAGATGGATGCTATCAGTCGTCGGGAGGGCAAGCCCGCTATGCATAAGCTGAAGATGCTGCCCGAGGTGGTTTCTCTACTCAATCGCAACCAATACGTCAACAGTCTGGTTGACCCCGAAATCAACCTGCTTGAGGCGGTCAAGTTCTTCCTGGAGCCTTTGGATGACGGCTCGCTGCCGGCCTACAATATCCAGCGTGATTTGATGACTTCACTAGCTAAGCTTCCGATTAACAAGGAGGCGCTTGTTGCCAGTGGAATCGGTAAAGTGATTGTGTTCTACACTCGGAGCAAACGCCCCGAAGCTGGAATCAAGCGTATGGCTGAGCGTCTGCTTGCTGAATGGACGCGCCCTATCCTCCAGCGCAGCGATGATTACTCCAAGCGAGTCTACCAGGAAGCGGAATTCGACCCTCGGTATGTCTTTCAACACCCCCCCAAGTTTGGTTGACCTGCATCAGAAACTAACTCTCGATTGTCTAGAAAAATCCAACGGACTACGCAATCGGCCCAGGCCACTGCGGCAGAAGCGCGCGCTCGCGAACTGCTTCCTCCTCGTCTGGCGAACCGTGCCCGCGCCGAGATCACACATACCAGCTATACCGTCGTGCCTCGCCCGACGATGGTGCAGGAGAGCAAGTTCGCGCGGCCACTGGGTGCCAGTGGAGAGGATCGATTCCGAAAGATGCGTGCACGACAGATTGCGGCGTCGAAGGGATCGCGTCGATAGAGTTGATTTCGTTTTCATTCATATTCTTGTTGCCACATGTTGAATGCATGGTTACTCCCATTTCGTCTGTTTTATTTCTTATTTTTCTTCTCGTCTTGCCGATCACATTTTCTTATGTTTTTCTCCGATTGTCTCGCAAAATGTTTACCTACGGTTCGGGTGCCGGCGTCATGGGATTGATAAGTCATTAGTCTAACTAGCTAGAACAAACAATACGCAGTACATTACATACATAAACGGTGGAAAGAATAATCTCCGGATGTCCTTACCGAAGTCGGTAGGAGTAGCCTGCCAATCATGCCATCCGGAAAGCGGGCAAATTACCCGCAACGGCTGACTGAGGCCGAATTCTTCTCGCGCGAGAACTGGCGTCATGTGCACGTAAAGAGTTTAGTCCGCTGCACCACCCATGACTTCCGAGCTTTGCCCGGCAGACCCCGAGCACCTAAACTGCTTTTCATCGGTACGTCACGGCCTTTGCTCAATCGCCGAGTCTGTTCTTTTTCGTGCGCTTCGCTATTTAAATCCTCGCCCGTTGCGCCATAGCTCCTCCTCCTCCAATTTCCACTCCGTTTTTCTAGAACGCCTTACATTTCTTCGATTGAAGATTTTCCAGATCCCATACTTATCTATAATTGTCATTAATACATTCTCCCACATACACAAACACACACAATGAAGCTCCTCACCAAGGAAGAAGAAGATGCTCACTACAGGTAAGCCCACACCACCCCCTCAACCGCATAACAACCCAGCCGAATTCGCCCCAGTTCCTCCCACACTACCCCAATCCCACCTCAAACTCCTCCCAATCCCTAACTAACCAAATTCCCAAAAAAAACAGAGCAGTTCTCAAAGGCGGCACAATCGGCACAGTCCTGGGCCTGATCGGCGGGTACGCCGGAGTCATGGCCGCCTCGCGCCGCTACCACACAATCCGCAACCTGACGCTCCCCATGAAAGCCTTCCTGATGACGTCGTCGGGTACCTTCGTCGGAATTATCGCGGCAGACAACTCATCCCGGAACTACGAAGCCGAGCGTAACGCCGACCAGCAATGGTACCAGAACCGAGAGCAGCGGCTGCGCGAGGAGTCGCTGCAGGGCATGAGCTTTATGGAGCGGTCGCTGGCGTGGGCCCGCAAGGAGAAGTACACTATTGTCACGGCGACGTGGGTGGCGTCCATGATTGGAAGCTTTGTGCTCGTCGGCCGGAACCCGTATCTCAGTGGACAGCAGAAGATCGTTCAGGCTCGTGTCTACGCCCAGGGATTGACGCTGGCGGTCTTGGTTGCTAGTGCGGCGTTTGAGATCAGTGATCAGAAGAAGGGCAAGGGCATCTTGAAGAAGAAGTTGGAGGAGGAGAGCGCCAAACAGGGTCATGTTGTTGAGGAGCTGCCGGTACAGCAGGAGCAGGGCGAGGGCGAGGGCGATCTGTGGAAGGATATGGTCGCTGCTGAGGAGGAGAGGCTGAAGAAGAAGCACCAGAGTGTTTGGGAGCATCCCGAGTTGCATAAGGAGGCCCAGCAGCAGCAGGCTAAGGAGGTCAAGTCGGAGGAGAAGAAGGAGCAGCAGTGATCTTTTGTTGCTTGCTTGCTTTCTCTTTCTATCTTTGGTTGAAGCGTTTTGGGGTTCTTCATTGCTTTGCGGGGACTGAAAAGTCTTGTTTTGGGTTTATAGATCCTTTGTTTTTTTCTTGATTTCCTTTTCTTTTCTTTCTTCTTGCGTGGGTGGCGCAGGGGCGTTTCATTGTGGTTGTTTCTCTGCTGGGTGGCTCACATGGTGCTACAGCGGCTGTGTGTACACTGGTTGTACTGTATTCTATGAATCTCCTCTACAATTGATGTCTCGTCATGTCTTGTTTACGATGTGAGCTCCTGGAATGTCAAATAATCATCTTGTTTCTCTTCAATCTGTTATGTGCATACCGGTGCACTGACATGTTCCGTTAACGAACACCATATCGTCCCATTTCACAATGCATATCGAGCACCTCCGCGTAGAACACCATACCTTGACGCCGTACTCCGTAGGCAAAGCCTGGCTAGACATCGGTCTTCTCATTCTGAGCGCGTGGCCTACGGCCCAGGTAGGAAGACGCCTCGAGTCTGTTGAGCTCGTCCTCTTCCTTATCCAGCTTGCGATGCGTGATCCAAAAGAGATTACCCCCGATAAAGGCGAGAACAGCGACGAAACCATAGTTCCACACAAGGAGGGGATCAGTAGATAGAGGGGTTAGACCCTGTTGGATTGCCGACGAAATAGCATTCATGAAGAGGTAGATAGATTGTACTATCGGTTATATTTATATTAGTAGATGCAGTAAGCAATGGGTATATATAACATACCTAAGCTCTTCATATTCTTCGGTGCCTTGGTGAATGCATACTCGTATCCAGTGATCGAGGTGAAGATCTCTGAAAAAGCGATCAAGACGTACGGCACAGCTTGCACCCAGACGTTGATAGGCGCAGGAGCCTCGCAGCTCTTCTCGCCCGGATACTTGCCACATTTACCCGTTTTATAGATATAGTGCTGTATCACGGTAGCTGATACCATGGATAGAGCGGCGAGCATGTAGCCCGCGTACATCCGCTTCAGAGGGGTAAACCGGACGCCCAGCCGCTGAATTCCAGGATACACAAACTGGTCCATGATGGGTATGAAGATAATCAGAGTCAGCGGATTCAGGTTCATGATAATATCATTTGGGACGCCGTGAAGCTCCATGGTGGCCGCTTGAGAGGTGAGATTGTTGGTCATTTGTCCGTAGGCCAGCCCTAGGCTTGTTAGATGGATGTGTCTGGAAATCTTGACCCGGATACTTACAGTACAGAGGATACCAGAGGAAGACGGCGCATGCCTTGATGGCTCTGCGTACCTCGTCGACCCATTTGTCGTCAAATGTCATCCACACTGGCCTCCTCTGGACTTTGCTGGGCTTCACGTTCTCCCAGAAGTCACTCGCTCGGCAGTTTTGGACACTGTTTGCAAGGTGTCAGCTAAGTTTGTTAGTGGAGTGAAGAGTTTGCACTGACAATCTGATAGGATTCCAAGACCACCTGCCCTTGAGCGCGAATGCCCAGAGCTTGAACACCTTGCCCACTACTGACCCAGTTGGGGGAGTGACCTCGTAATTCTTGCGGCAGACATAAAGCACGAGTGGACAGATGGCGAACATGATGGTGGGAAGGACAAATGAGAGCCAAAATCCAACATATTTCTCTGCGTATACCATGACAATCTGTCCAAGCAAGGAGCCAACATTTATCATGAAGTAGAAGTACAAGAAAATCCGGGTGATTGTCTGAGCCGGGTCCACGATGACACGTTCTCCAGTTTTTGGAAGAGTTTTGATATAGTGTCGGGTTTCTTTGTGCTGCTCTGCGATTAGAGGAGCAATGTTCGATCTATTGGTTTGTTAGTAAAGAAATCAACAACCAGGAAAGACCAGTGTGTCTGTACTTGAAACCACCCACGCCAATTCCGAAGAGTATCAGACCGACTATGAAGCAACCCAACGCACCGCTGGGATGCACAATCACCTGGGGAAGAGCCGCGATGATCAACACAATATGTCCAACCATGGCAAAGGCGATGGCAACTTGGATGGTCTTCAGGCGGCCCCAGAACTCGTCGGCCACCCAGGCACCAACAATCGGCGTCACGTAACACCAGAAAGCATTGACTTCGCATGTCAGATATTTGTTTTGCATATCTTGGGGGCCTTGCAACCTGGGGTAGGGGAGGGAGCTCACGAGTAGTTAGGCCCGTGGAGACTCTCTGGCCCATGCCTAGAGCTCCCGACTGTCCTGCATGACCGGCACCACTGCTCGAGTTGGGCGGAAGAGGCTGTTGGATAAAGTTGACAACTGGAGAGGGTCATTCTCATATCTTGTGCGACTGAAAGGATTACATACAAACAGCAGTGGTCCCATAGTAGGAGAACCGTTCGCACAGCTCAACAAAGGCGATGGTATATGCAGTCCATCGAACGCTTCCAGCGACGCGACGGAGAGACTCCAATTCCTGTCCAGTGGGGGTTGCGCAGCCATCATCATGTGGAGAGGGAGCCGCCGAAACCACTACAGTCTCTTGCTTTGCGACAGGGGTTTTGAGTGTCTCATGTACCTGTGTGTCGAGCTTTTCTCGACTAATTGGGCCGCCCATAGTTGCGACAGCACAAATAAATAACACTGAGCTGAAGATGAAGACTCTCCAGGAGGGATGGTATAAAAATGGGATGATAATGATCTTACCAAGCGAGGGGCTTCTCTACAACCAAGACCAGAAGAAGAGACTCAAGAGTCAAAGAGGGTAAGTTTTGGGCGAACGAGGGTCGGATAAAGCACAAGAGGAAAAGAAGAAGGGGATGGAAGAGAGGATAGAGGAATGGGTCGGGTGCCTGGGGGAGATGGCAGCCAATCTCATGCGTGTCCGGATCATGCTTTGATATACCTAGTAGATAGGTAGAAATTCACTCGCACCCGATGGGCATCTTGCGTTTGATTGGAAAAAAATATTCCAATTCCAGGTTTCGGTCAGTGTTCCGTCCTTCTACGAATAGCCTCGGACGGGATTTCGTACCGTAGAATTCCAGTGGCCTCTCTTGTGTCATACCTGAGATTGATATATGGTCTAGTCTTTCATCCGATTGAAGGCTGTGGCCATTGGGAATGGATACCGGGACTACTCGTGACCTGACAGTTGGGTTGCATTCTTTGTTTAAATGGTTGAAGGTAACGCAAACACCACTGCTTGGTGAATGGGAATCCAGACACGGGTGCTCGCGGCTGCTCTAGTCAGTACTTGAATTCTTAGTCTAATGTTTCTCCGCACCCTTAGGGATGTCTGTGGCCGAGTACTCATACAAGTGCCGGGTTTCTCCGAATATCAGGCCTACTTTGAGAAGGTCCATGATCTCAGAGTGAAAGGAGAAAAGACTCTGAACTCTAGGAAAGTTCGTATCTAGCCATCTTGCGTCGATCGTTAAGTTTACCCTATATGTATGACTTTGCAGGTGGGAGTAGGAACCAGCATCGTTGGCCTCCCAAGGTGACACAGTGAGAAAAGCGGTCAATCGTATTGATTTGCGGCTATATCAGTGAATGGCCCTACTCATCCTAACCTATGGAGTCGTGGATTGATTACCTACAATTTTCAGCCAAATCCATTCTGAACTGGCATTGGAAAGATGCTTCGAGATATAGGTGAAGACATTCCCAAGTGCCAAAAGACATGTTTCCCGTTACAGCAGAGAAGCATGCCATGCACCTGAGTCTGTTACATAGCAGGATACAAGAAGCTTAATACCAGTTGAACTTGGAAGACTCTTGGTGGTAACTATTTGCCGAGCTACCAATACAACTTCTGTCTGACAGTCGCCGAGGAAGTTGCTAGATGCTCTGAAACCACTGGAATTAATTGGAATGGCATAGATAGACATCTGTGGAGGGAAGAGGCACAAGAAAACGTTCAAGTGAGTCAATAGAAACAACATCATACTTTGTGGTTGGACTTGAGCACAGCTTTAACATAGGTTACTATATTAATAAACGACAGCAAACTTCGACAACTGGCGGTTAATTAACGTTACCTATAAGTGGCTAGCGCACTGGCAATATTGTCCGATTGGATAGTTAACCAGTAGGGTAGGCATATTTAGGTTACAGTAGGCACCACTAGGTAGTACTACTACTACTAGTAGTAGTATCAGCAGTATACTAGGAAGATATCTAAATAAAGGAAGCCCAGCGGCAACTGGAGCCAAGAAAACAAGTCTGCCAGCCCTCTCGTCACCAGTGCTCCCGGCTATCTTGACGGTACCCTACTGATGGCTTTTCTTGTATTTCTTTGTTCCCTCACTTTTAATTTCATATATAGCTGGGTTGTAGCGCGTCACATATCAATACTACGCTTGAAACTAGACGTAAGATGGACCGATTCCTTATATGTTCTCCTGTTCAAGATGTAATATCGAGGTTAGTAGGCGACGTGTGGAACGGATGGCCACGCCTCTTTATGGTCCAGTAACTTTTCCAGACAAAGAGGCATAACGCAGTATCTTGGCTTATATTTACATCAATGGTGTTGGCACCCAATTGCAGCAGAGATTGGCCACGGTGTAAGCTGGTATGATGCGCTTCAAACTACCATCAGGTCAACGGTACCATGCATTCACGACACTCTTTATAACTTCTGCTCTATAATGGTTAGCCTGAGTAAGGATAACACTGTAGCCCATATCAAGATAAAGAAAACGAAAGCCTTGAGCAGCATGCTGGTCATATCAGTCATCATTCATTTAGTGAGTAACTATTTACATTCGTCTCACTTAGTAACTCTCATTCGGTTAGGCAAATGATAGGAAAGTTACAGACGGAGCTAACCAAAGTACTTAGATAGTACTAGTAGTAGATATGAGAAATCATCAGTAAATCCAGGTCATCACGGTTAATGAGCCCCGCCACGTTGGGCAGGAGGCATTGAGCAAATAGCAGGTGGTGTCGCCGCCTTGTACGCACGATTCTTCGGACTCCTTAAGGCAGTAGCATCCAGAGTTTAAGGAGGAAGTTCCACAGAGTTATTGTTGTCTCCAATTCCCGTTGTTATAAATTCATTGATCAAACATTCGCAGAGAACACCGTGTCGGATATAATAACTGCAACAGCCGCAATCTAGAAACACAGTCAGCCGATTTTTAAACGCTAATTTTGGGCTAATCACATACTAGTGATTGATCGACGTGCGCAGTTATAATGATATCCAGGACTGGTCGATAGCCATGCTTAGAACTAGGAAAGCGCTTCATCAAGGCCAACTTCTCGTTGTGCTGTATACTCTCGCGCACTTCTGCTACCTTCCTATCACCATCCACAATATCATATAACGCTAGAACGTTCCCGCGACTCTGGACTTCTAGGGAGAGCTCCTTATCCTCCTTACGCTTGGATTCGAAGGCTGCTGCGTTATCGAAGGTGATGGTGAAATCCCCCCACCCAGACATTCCAGATGTTCGTCGCGGACTAACGGTGGCTATTTTCGCACTACTGCTCCCCGGCAGCGAGATGGACCAGGAGTTCCTGAAGGACTTCCTGTAGATCTCGAATAGAGGGAGCCCCGAGTCATCTCTGAATTCCCGGCAAGGTCGATCGTTGAATTTCCGACCGGAGGCTGTGAATAGGACTATGCCGTCATCGTCGTGGATGCTATAACCAATGGCAGATTTTGGGTCCCCCTGGGGTCGAAATGTGAGGAGGGATTTGACTTCGGTGATATATTCTCTTCGAAGAGCGATCGGGCGCTGGGGAGCTTTGAGAACTCTGCGAATCCGGGAAGAGCATCTGGTAGCCAACGGAGCTTGCAGGGGTGGTAGTACGTATGTGGTAGACATTATGCTGTTGGCGGTTGAAGGGGGGAATTGGACTGCCCTGTGTTATGAGGTGCTGCGATTGCGGGGAAGGCAGCTTTGTTTATAATCAAGCGTAAAGTTGGATGTGATAAGCCCATAAATTCACTCGCGCACAGCCCGGCGCCTCCCGATGACTTCATAGGTGGTAGAAAGGTACTAGTAGTATTTACCCCATCCGGCGTGGAAGGGGTCCACCAATCAGAGCATCTATTGCCTGACCTACTTTCCAGGTACTAAGGATACCTGCCCGGACAAGTGGTCTGGAATGCGATACATGACTTGCCAAGACCTTTCGGTTGTGATATGGCCTCCTACTAAGGATGATAGATTCGGGGTTACACCTCAATTTGACACAGTACTTGCAGGATAAGCTTACACGATTTCCAATCAGACCGCTTGAGCCACAAGCGTCGTGTAACTTTGACCTATCAAGATATATATATCAGGCGCTGAACGATTGCCGTTCAGTTCATTCAGTCAGTGTCTGATGGAAGTGTCAGAAAAGAAAACGGGGGAAACTACACCCAGCCACAAAACCCGTGACCAACCTCTTGCCCTGACCCACTCCGGAATAGTCTCCAAACCCAAACCCAAAACCCGGGCACGAACTGAAATGCCCTGAACGTGTTCCCGGGTTCCCGGGTGGCACTCCCTTTTTGTCGATCTTGGGCCCTTTTTCCCTTCAGATGAAAATTTCCTTGGATGCCAATGCCCCCAGAAAACCATGATGATGACAAACATGTATTTTTACTTATACAATACGGGAGAAAACCAGAAATAGAAGCGGAGAGGCTGAGGGAAGCCAAGACGCTTGCAACAATGCTAACGCGAAAACAGCTGGAATGTCTCAAAATTTAACCCATCGTTTGACCGTTTGACTTGTTTCCAAATTCCCCTCGACGGAGATCCAAGTGGGGGGCGACTGTCTCTTTCTTTAAGCCTTTTTAATCTATTTTTCTTTTAGCTCTTCCGATGTTAACCACTCATCTTTATGTCATAACAATTGGCCTTGTTTTCTCCTTACTTTAAGGCATCCAATCCTTTACTGCCTGCGTGGTCGGCTGTTCGCTAGTACTCTAAACTTGAGTGGGCATCAACGTTCGGTTCTGCTGCCCTTGCGCCTACTTCCACTTCATGACATTTCACCCCTGAAGCCCGTCGGTATGAAAATATGGCGGCAACGTGTGTCTCGCCCCTTGCGGGTACTCATATACCTTCTAGCACTTGTGCTCCTGCTGTGGATAGTTCTCCCATATGACCACCCTCTCCGACTATCGGCTCGTTTTAATATTAAAGCTTTCGGTACCGCCTTCACTTCTTACCTGGGGGGCCATTGGTGGTTCTCGGAGCGCTCTACTTTCCCAATAGTGCTATCGGACGATGTTGCTGTGTTGATGAAATCTGGATTTGGGACAAAGGATCGCATCGCTGCTTGGTTAGAAGCTCACGAGCAGGATAAATTCAACAACCTCCTTCTTGTTGGCGACTTTGCCACACCTTCGGGACAACTTTTTAGCTACAATGGCCGGCGCCTACCGGTTTTTGACCTCGTGGCTTGGATGCTGGAAAAAGGATACTTGTCTGCAGAGCTAGAGCACCCACGACTGATGAAACATTCTAACTTAAGCGCTGCGATCTCTAACGGGGACGTGGAACTCGGGAAGGAACTATCGAAGTCGTTCGGGTGGGAGCTGGACGCTCTAAAGGTACCTAGCCCCCATTGTTAAGGAAACTTGCGTTCCATGCTACTGTGGCTTGCATCGATGTGATACGTCAATATTGGACTTGAGAGGCTGACATACAGCAGTTTATCTCCGGCCTCGAATTATGCTATGACCAGATGCCGGATAAAAAGTGGTACATTATGGCAGACGACGATACGTATCTCATGCAGCCTGCCCTCAAGCTACTACTAGAACATCTTGACCCGGAAGTACCCTTGTATGTTGGCAACGCGGTAGGTGACTACAAAGGTCGCTTTGCACATGGAGGATCCTCCGTGATTCTATCCCAAGCCACAATGCGTTTGCTTTTCTCGCACCATGAAGTGGTTACCTCGGCCCATCTGGAGTCCCTCGAAGAAACGTGGGGCGATAAACTGCTGGCGACAACTTTGCTCAAATTAGGCATCTATCTCGACGAACGATATGTCATCTTTTTCAATGGGGGTCCACCCCGAGCCATAAGGGTCACAGAGGACCGCTTGTGCGCGCCGATCATTTCTTTTCACAGTTTAACTCCGTCCGAGATGATAAATGTCGGTCGGAGGTTCCAACATATAGATGACGTTCTTCTTTGGATCGACTTGTGGGATATTTATGGTGCCCCTTCTCTCGACTCGCCGATACTCCAGTCAGGCCGGAAGAACTGGGACCATGTTGGAGGCTTGGATGAATCAACCATGACCGTCAATGACATTTCAACAATAGAGGGGTGTATCCACATTTGCCATAACTACTCAAAATCTTGTCTGGCTTGGACCTGGGAGTCGGAGAAACAGCTCTGTCATATCAGCAACTGGATGGTGCCAGGAGAACAGGCTGAAGGCAAAACTTCGGGTATTAATGTGCCACGCGCGAAAAATCTTGTTAGCTTGTGTCGATCGTGATAGAGTCGGCTGTCCATCTACAAATTCTCCAAATCGCTCATGACCAGAACGCAGGGCTTCTCCAATAGCAGATACCGGGGTCACAAAAAGCCCCATGGCAGTCGATGGCATATCATACTCGAATGCAGTGGATTTACCAAGATACCAGAGGCCGTTTCAGTGGGCGGTGACCACCAGCACAACCGACATACGCGAGCTGTATAGCGATTACTTTGCTGCATGAGGCGTAGCATACGTCTACCTCTTCATACAAGCTTTTCAGCAGATCTCTGTACCATTCAGCAACGAAGGTGAATAGAGAAGTGCCTTCGCCCTCAACAGGGCCTATCCTTTGCACGCGGTCGACCCTTTTTCCTCTTTCTTCATAGCCATCCCTATAGAATTGTTTGTGTACATTACGTTTATTGATCGCTGTATATAATTCAACAGTTTCTCAAATATAGTTTTCTCGGCATAAGAGAAAGGGCCATAAGAAATTTGACGTTGCCTTACAAGTGACTTACGAAGGCCAAGTCCGACAGCATATCTCCTTGCATGAGTATTGACTATGATACATTAACTACCCAGGACTACGCACAGGGTGGTCGTAACTAGCCAGTCTTCCACATTTAATTGGTTTTGGTAGAGCGCAGCACCCGTCCCTTGGCACATACACTAACCTGTCGATCACCCCCAACAGACCCTGATGGGATCGCGATCAACTTGTCTGGGCACTGAACTCAGGGTCACGTCATTGTTCTTAGTTCAGGTTTCTCGACAAGTAACAGCACAAGTCCCTCCTCATTCCTTCTATAGACCTTTGCAGCCCTAGATGATTAGGCACGTCGACCTCAATAACCGAGTATCTGGTTGATGTGAACAGTTGGTTGTCCGAATGATTATGACCTGCAGTGCTGAAGACTGGAGGACCACTAATCGACCAAGTTTTGTGTTAGTACGGGATAAATTGTCGTATTCACCTCATGGCAGTACCCACTCCTCCAAAGATTTTTCTATACTCCGTACTGACCCACTCATGATGTCGAGGATCGATCAATACCTGTTCGGGTAATGAATGCTCCACCAAGATGATCTTGTCCTAACACGTCCTGGCTTTCTCTTTAGGGCTCACTAGGCCCGTGTTGTAGTATACTTAAAACACGGTACTATTTCTACTGCGCAGTACTGCGTACTGTACCGTGTAGCCAGTATTTACCGGCTGGGTTGTAAATGAATTACTTAATTTAGGGTTATGTTGTGGGCTGTTTTACTGTGATATCTTCATACGGCATGCTTGACTTTGTTGTCGCTGAGTGTGTTATCGATGAGAGAAGATGGCTGAATGTAATGGCTGTATATATTCTCGATTAATGGAAATAATCATTCGATTTTGACCTGATATGCTGGCCATGTAGTATGAAACACATCGTTGAACTCGACAATTGACCATCGACTCACCGAATCGATAAGTGCCAGTGTCTGCCTTGACCTGTGGCTAGTATTGGTTTATGTCAAGCTCTGCGTACCCTTATCAAACCCCTTGTGTTCTAAATGGAGTTTCTTCCGTCTCTTCATATCTCTATGCGGACAACCGGCCCACTTCAATTGCGCGATTCGACTAGTAACTTCAGATTTAAACTACACAGATCTCGGTAGAGGTATTCCGTAGCTCGGGAACTGTACATCCGCCATCCGAATGGTTCTTTCGTTCGGATCGAGCACCAAACTGTATCCGGAGTATATCATGTATCATCATCAATTTATTGGATTTGTTATCTGCTTACCAAAACAGATATTCGACTGACAAATGCATCTTGATATCAAAATGGCGATGATAAAAAGGGCTGGCTATCCAGTCGTCATGGGAGCAATAATAAACAAATCCAGTTGATCGAAATATCCAAGTCAATACAACACTCCGTATTAACATCTGTCCAATATGTCCCAACACGTGCTTCTCCTCGGTGCCACCGGCCAGACCGGCAATTCCATTCTTAATGGGCTCCTTGAGCATGGCGGATATGTATGTAAAACTATCAGTCAAGTCGGTCCATATCGATTGCTACCGCTAACAGCGTTTCGTTCTTCAGGAAGTCGCTGCGTTGGTTCGCCCTTTGTCAGCTGAAACCCCGAAGGTGAAGGCCGTGGCCGAACGAGGTGTGAAGATCATCTCTGCCGATATCACCGGTCCGGTGGATGAGTTAGCCAGCATCCTCCGTGACTTCGATGTTGTGATCAGTGCCATCGATGCCTTGAGCATGCATGTTCAGGAGAACCTAGTCACCGCTGCAAAGCAGGCCGGCGTGAAGCGGTTCATACCGTGTGCATTCATCACTGTCTGTCCACCGGGTGGCGTGTTTCGTCTGAGAGATGAGGTATTTATATCTATTGAATGCATTTTGTGCATCGGAATTGCCCGGCAGCAATAAAAGACGGCTTTTTATGTGTCACTCAACGACATAGACTGCAAGGAAGTCGCTAACAGAGATACCACAGAAAGAAGCGATATACCAGCATATCCGCAAGCTCCACCTCCCATACACTATCATCGACGTCGGATATTGGCACCAGATCTCCTTTCCAACTGTCCCATCCGGACGTGTAGACTACGCCTCCATGTATGCGCCCAATACGACCATCCATGCAGGCGGCACCACCCCAAACCTCCTCACCGACCTCCGTGACATAGGCCCCTTCGTCGCGCGCATTATCGCCGACCCCCGCACCCTCAATCAATCAGTCTACACATGGTCCGACGTGCTGACTGAGATCGAAATTTTCGACATGATGGAGGAGGTGAGCGGCGAAAAGATAGACCGCACCTACATGTCCGTGGAGACAATTGAGACGGCCATTGTGACCTTCAAAGAGACTCTTGAGAAGGAACCAGAAAACATACCCACCCGTCTTGCACTGACCATGTTTCAGTATTTCTTCAGTAAAGCTATCCGGGGTGATAACCAGCCAAAGTATGCGAAGTACCTGGGTTACTTGGATGCTAGGGAGTTGTATCCCGATTTTGAACCGAGGAGCTTCAGGAGCTTTTTGAAGGAAGCCCTCGATGGCAAGGCGGAGAAGGTGTATAAGGACAATGAGGGTGTTGAACAGTTGAAGAAATGGTTTTTTGAGTCGGGGTTGCCCCTTTAGCTCCAGGTTAGATTTCTAGTTGGTGGTGGTGCTTTGAAGTACTACTATGGACTCGCAAATCTATGGTGTGTCTTGATGGATATCATAATATGTATGATAGCAGCTAGCTAGTATTGCCAAGTGAGTAAATGGGCCTTTTTATATTAAGGGACGTTGAGAAACCAATTTTATGCTTATTCTTGTTTTAAAGCAGAGTCATTCTAGCTCGAAAGAGTTTTCCCTTCCTTTCTGAAGGTGCCTCACGGAATAATAGTTTGTGTATGCTCATAGAAAAGGACATCATTCGAAGGCTGAGTCTTATGGGCCGCTGGGGTTGTACAAGAGGTATGCGTTCCTTGTCTCGGGCATTTTAAACCCCCTCTCTATCCCACAGCGGACAATGACTTTCCCTTCCCATCCATCTGACCTCTCATGCCAGTAATGAGGAAGATATCTCCATCAAATCAGTTACTACAACAAAGAAGCCGAGTTGTCTACTATCCTTTAACAGCAGCTGCAGCTGGATCGGGGTTACTGTGGCTCCTATCCTGAACCTTGCAACCCCGCAACTTGACGGTTTCAGCTTGTCCTCTGGTGACATCGTACGAAGCATTGCTATCCTTACCATTGTGAGCAACTGAGTCAGCGACTGACCTGTTTCTATAGCTAACTATGATCGAAAATAGCCCCTCCTCTGTTGGTTATTTGGTACTGGCTACTCGTTGATTGAATATGGTGGAGACACAAGGGGAAGAATGCCTTCAACTACCTGGGCCACCAAAAAGTGTGATGCGGAGCCACGAACATTTATTTCGCGATCTCGACAAATTGTACGTGACTTTAGCGAATGCCCTGCTGCCAAAAGCCGAAGCGTGTGCCATGGATAACAATGGATTCATCCATCCCGCTCTCCCACATCCGTGATCTAATAACTTGAGAATTGATGATAAAAAGGAAGATCAAAGGCTAGGAAGGCAGGTAGAGGTATTGCGCTAACCCTGGCTGAGGTCATGGGACTCAGCAGCGTCGGTCAGAAGAGCAGAAGAGAAGCAATTCCAACCCTATGGCTACATTGATAACTGTCAGACCGCATTGAAATTATCACATATTATGGATACAGTGTAGGACAAGGAGGCCTTCTGTTATAGCCTTGCCGTCTCTTGCCCTGCAGGAGTCTTTTAAATTTTGACGAGCATGTTCAACTGGTGGTTCATTGAATGATGTACAAAGCACGATGCGTTGTAGGATAACAACACTGTGAGTGTATCCCAGCGCGGACCCAAAGACAGAAAGGACTATGGCATCCGACTTGAATAAGAAATTTGAAAAAGGTTTATGATCGGCTCAGCAATAAAGGTTATGGGTGAGCGCCTCGACTAGAGCTCGGTCCCCTCTCTTCTCCCGCTGCCTTCGAGGGAAGCCTTGTGTAGTTCTGTTCTCCCTCACGTTGCTTCGTACTGGTCTCTTTTTCGTGTTGTTTTGTCGTCCTGTTTCGGTTGGTAGAGTCATTGGTTGTGGTCATTGCCTGCAGATTTGGATGCAGCATCCTCCTATCTTTGCTCCTCTGGCCGGCATTGCTGAGTCTCAGGATTTCGGCTCGGGTTAGCACAATACCTATATCTGCCTTCCTAGTATTTGAATCATCCTTTTGACGACTGTCAGTCATCTTGGATGACGCCCAGCTGTATCTACCGTCAGCCAACCAAATCCCTGTGTCTGATTTGAGCTTGAAACTCCACTCATATACTGAACTTATATTCTGAATCAGTTGCATTTCCAATCTGGCCGGTCAACTTTTAAACAAGTTATCAGATGACACTGTGAATGGCTGTTACAGTTCCGGACAGTGGTACATACAGGGTCACAAGCTTTCACCCAGTCATACATAGTGAAGCTGAGCCTGTTATGATGATATATGACGTGGAAGAAGCCCTCAGTATCTTGTGGAGTGTTCCAAGTCTTGAGAGGCAACCCAGAGTCATGAGACAAAACTCCCTTAGTGAATGGGTATCTCCACGAATGTGACCGGCACCCTTTGCCTTATGATGTTCTCTAGACACATCATCCTAGTGATGTTGTATAAGCCCCGCGGATACAGGTGATAAGCACTGGTAGTCAATACTTGCTTTCTAGTAGACCTGCGATGTCGTGGCCATTGACCGAACTGTGGTCTCTATAGCTATTGAACCAGGGAATACAAAACTCCTGTAAGTTGAGATCGAAAGCGCCGGGATATACCTGCTTCTCTTCCATTTCCAGCAGTTGACCCGAAATACTAACTGTTTCTCTTTGTTTCAGGTGATATTATTCTGGTATAGTCTGTAATCAATGGGTAAGTCCCAAAATGCTCGAGTCGAAAATAGCGGTACAATGCTATTGTCTTTCTATCTTCTAGCAGCTGAATAGAATATTTGACAATTCTTTTTGTTCACCATTCAAGCCAGGTATATATAGGAATGGGGAATTGTAAGACTGTCACTGCAGCGTCCTGGCCATGTCCAAAGGCGTAGCGGCCCTTCCAGCGTTGGCGTAATAGTTCTAGCGTGCAAGTTATTCTTTATGATGTAGCCACATGGCTCCTAAATCTTATCAATTTCAAAGCTCCCTAATCTACAGAGTTCCATACAGCCCTTCCGTAACAACATCGCAAAGCCATCGCTACAGCTGTATTCACTCTCTTCTCGAGCCTCCCCACAGAGCTCCGCCACCAAATATGGCGATACGCTCTACCCGACACAGTTAAACAACCATTATACCTCTACAAACAGGACTGCTGGAAGCCTCAACGCTGGGCAGAAGGCGACTGAGGCTACAGCTATGTTGATGACGATCTTAACGTACATCACGAATTGCGCACCGATTTATTGGACCCTATATAAGTTGAGGTGCCGCTCCTCTTTGTCAGCTCTGAAGCCGGTGATATTGCCTTAGCCTGGATGCAAGGGCAAGGTCTCAAGATATACTTCTACGAAGATGGACAAACTCCTATTGTGATACGCCTATTTGACCCAGAACATGATACACTATACATCTCGTTTGATTCTTGGAGAGACTTTTCCTACGGACCTGTCGACCTGTAATTTTCACCGGGTCGCTACAGCGGAGATCATAGCTATTTCATCTTAGACGTTAAACGCATCGCCGTGCCTGGAGTATTATTTCTGGACTATGCATGCATACCCGATACTTGGCTCTTGTACTACGGTCTCAAAAAGGTATTCATCATTCCCACAGCGCAGTAAGATATACAGCCTGAGGAGAATGACGTAAAAGTACAACGTCGGTTGGAGCTTCAGGACACACTGGGACCCATGTTATTTTAGAATAAGGACCGTGGATGCTTTGGGTGGGAGGATAGTGCAGATGCCGGCGACAATACCCTGAAAATGGTGATAGAGTGGCCCTGTGATGGGCTAGACAAGCGGTTTCAAAATAAAGAAAAAAGATTTGAGGTCCGGGCTGCCTTTGTCGTTAGAAAATGAACAGAGATTCTATGCAGACAATAATCGAAACATAGCTTGCCTTGCGGCTAGAAGGATCCATGATCCAGTTGAAATTTTTGAAACACAAGACGTACAGGAATCCTCCCCATCTTTATATTCCAGCAGTTTCGATCAGATAAATTAGAGCCTGTGGCCCACTCGTCTCCTTCAATTTATTACATACGATCTTCAATCCCATGTGGGGTTTCGAGGTCAGGCACGCCAGCCATTGCCAACCCACGCATACCTTCCTCGTAGACTCTATAAGCCTTCCAGAGCTTCCTCATCGTCTCAACACTGACACGTCGTCCCTGTCTGTGAGTCCCAGTATAAGCCGTGAAATAGGCCCCAGTACCGTCTGCAGATACGGCATAACGGACGTCGTCGAATTCAGTCCCGTCGGGAATATAGGCCGCGAGACGCATATCGTAGACAATGAGAAAGTATCCCATGTTCGCATCGAACCCGAAATGGACATCGATGTCGCCCTGTTCTTTCATCCAGGTGACCATGCTTTTGATATTAGCAGTGTCTGAATAGACTTAGTGTCATGCTTACTTGGATACGAGATCGTTGAAATCGAAGAACTGGGGGATTGTGGGGTCGGATCCGGTTGTTCAGGCCTTGTAAAGTAACTGAAATTTGATCAGCAACAGGGTCATAGTAGAGGGGATCAATCAAACGGTGGAAACCAGTCTTTAGAGTTCCAAAAGCAATGCGATAGACGACAATATGCACCTACTTCTTCCGAGATTCCAGGGTATCGCTGTCGTTGCTGTGACTAAGAGATTTAGCAACACACTGAGAATGAATTTCGTGATGTGTCCAGGAAGTCGAGATGTGAGGATTACGGTGTTATTAGATACAACTTAAGGATGGGGCAGAAGTGAATTGCATGGTGTATTCACTGCATGTCTGGTACTATCAGGATGTCTACCTTAGGCATCAACTATCACGATATACTCATTTTTTTTTGCTAGTAGGAGCAAGCACATGTACCTACAATCTGCATTAAACAGTACATTGAGTTGACTCTTCCGCCCTGTCATACATGACCCTTGGTTCGAAGCAAGTCTCTCCTGCAGTTTTCACATACAATCCTCATTTGTCGAATGCTTGAACCCTGAATATCATACCAATTTCGGCTTGTTTAGGCTCCCCTTCATCTCCCTCTTTCCCAGCATGGCTCGTGTGCAGTACCTCAAAACTTAGCTCACATGCCTTATCACAGTCTTTGGAATCAAAATTTTCCTCGCCGCCGTTGTCATCTTCACAAATCATAATGAATTTCACAGAACCACGGCACAACTCATAACGATTGTGGGCATCGTGATTGTCTTGAAGCGCCTGGGAGGATATTATACTACCTAATATTAGCGATATAAGTCTCCTGTCTTGAGGGCTAGTGTTCTTACCTGGAGTTGCAATGGTCGGTGATGGTGTACGTTTTGTGGGTGAGCTTAGTTCTCATTAGCTTGTGTATGTAAGAGGCCCGGGTTTTGTTTGAAAGAGTTTCTGTAGAACGACCGATCCATTGGGTAATGGTAGGGTTATATAGTGCTAAGAGAAACATTCTGAGCGACTATCTGTCCGGTATATTGTCGTCAAAGCGGCGACTACCTAGGTGTAAGCATTCTAGTATGTCCATAGACAAGCCTCGAACCAAGTGGCCATAGAATTAAGAGGTGTGCCTTGTTGACTGTATCGATATACTGCGCTAGCTATATGTTAGATATCGGAAGTTATCCAAATGCCTGTGTCAAATGCCCTTTGTCTTTGTCTATATGGAATCAGGGATGGGACTTTACCAAATTAATCATTGTTGGTCTGTTTCGCGTTATACCATTTCTGCGCTTTCTTCCATAAGCTCTCATGGTAGCCTCCAGTTCTATATTTATACCTTTTTGTTTCGAACCCCCACGTTCTTTGGTACAATGACAGGCAACCGGATATCATCAAAGGAGGCTCTTTAATCATCTATTACTACTACTGTCAAGCCTGATTTGTTTCAGCTGCAGGTAGCCGCTTCCAGGTAAATTCATCCAGCCTTCTCCCTCCCCCTCGGATTTGAATAATATCAGCTGTTCGCACACCACAACTACTATATCAAATACCATATCATCATGGAAACTCCCACCCATGCTCTCTCAGTCAACATCTACGGCCGCGGCGATGCCACACTCGGCGACGGCCCGTCACACATAGGCATCGCTGTTTACGAGGTCGGAGCCCGCACCTGCGAAATACACCACATCCGCAACCCCAACGATACAGACTTCATCTACGACCCGCGCACCCAACCACTACAGGACGACTCCGTACTACGCGGCCGATGCGAACTCACTGCATTTAGATCTGTCGAACAAAAGGACCACGCAGCACGCCTCCTGTCAAACTTTGGCCGGAACGACACCAACATCCCTGAATTCGGGGTTGGCAATTGCCAAGATTGGGTAGCGAAGGCCATTCAGATGTTAGAAAAAGCAGGCGTAGTGCCATCCGGAGAAGGGCAATTCTGGGATGACATGATCAATTTAAGTACCGAGGCTATGCAGGATCGGTGTGTACGGAGTGGGAGGACGTGGATTCCAGGCCCGGAACAGGTGTTCGAGGGCGAAGCTGATGCTCGGTTTGTAGATAAGGGTGATGTAAAGCCTGTGGGGAAGCTGATGCAGAATCCTGCGTTGAGGGAACGGATGTTGGCGCTTGCGGGGGGATTCCTGTTAGTGATTCTGTGAGTGTGGATAAAGGGTTGTCTGGGGAGAGGTCTTTTTATGTGTCGAGTCCTTTCTTTAGCCGTACGCGTGAGGTCCCTGGATGTGATGGTGAGAGTGCGTCTTCTTCTGCTGATGCTGCTGAGGAGAGCAACCCTTCCGCGGATTGAGTTATGTGAGGTTATAGATAGTTACGTGAAGTTCTGATTGCTTGTAAAATGTTTCATCTGATTAGAGATGCGTTTATCGTGGAGAAGTTTCTATTCTTGGAAAGTCAAACTAGCGATACAGCTGTCTGGTATAATACAATTTTTCAGGAATAGAGGAATACAAATATACGAAATCTTCAGCAAAACAGTCAGTATCTCTCCTTAACTAGAACTATACCCATATTATCCAGTAAGGTGGATAATAGACACAATATTTAATTGACCATTTGTATTTTTCATGAATATCATATCTCGATGATGTGGATATCATATAACCTGTAAATTGGTACGGGGAACCCGCAAAACCCGACCCAAAACCAACTCTAATAAACTGTATACAAATATAGACTGGTTCAAGAAAGCCCCTCATCCTGTAGAATCTCCTGTGTAGTTCTATGTGGTTAGCTTCATGTTTACAAACCACTTGAAGAATATGAAAATACACCAAGTGTATTTTCCTCTTATGATATTTTGCATCAGATATTTGAATGACTAGCACGGGACAAAACGTCGTCATACCGCAATGCATTTGTCTAGTCGAATTAATCACGTTCATGTCAGTGACCACATCCTCCAGGCAACAACGAGCCCTCTTATTCAAAAACACTCCAACCCTCCCTCTTCTTTCTCATTTCCCCCACTCAGCATCACCACCTGCTACCAAGTATCTAAACTTCATACCTCAAAATCACGTGTGACGCTTCAAAATGTGCCGGTTGACTATGAAATTGGATTGTGAGGAATTTGTCATCGAGGTGGGAAGTCCACCCTCCCTGACGTTGAGGCTTACTGAGGATTCCCACAAGGAGTGCCTGAAAAGCCTCTTGACTAGTGAGGATTCAGCCCTTGCAGTGGACTTAGAAGATATTCCTTTTTAGGGCTGTATCCCGTACAACAAGAGCAAGATACGCGACATCCTCGCTGCAGTTTTGCCATGTACAAATCCTACATATCATGCGTCACTATTAGAAGAGTCGAGCAATTAGCCAGATGGGCCAATTGAGGCTGAATTCATCTACCCCAGCATACTGGAATGCCTGAAGACGTCTGAGTCACCGGTCGTCGGTACCGAAGCATATCATAGGTATGTTTATCCTCTCAAATATTCTTGGGGTGGCAGCTGATCCGGCAGAGAATGAAAGGAACGTTGCATAAACCTTCCTGAGATATGGTGCTTATGGAATCAGCTCCTGCGACTTCGGCTGGGTTGAAGACGGTAAATACTACCCCGCCATTTAGGTCGGAGAAAATATTCATATCTGACAGGACATGCCCATCACTGAAAACTACTGTGTCTTCGTCATATCAAAAATGTACCGGGAGGCATGATTGGCGCTGGCGAAAGGCTCCACTGGGCCTCGATGCGATGCCCCCCAACACGATAATTGCATAAGGTTGCCCAGACTGTGGAGAAGTTGTGGAGGTGGATAAAGTGAATCCGGAGCATGGCGGGTGGACTGATGAGCTAAATGGCGAAATTGCTCTTAGTCCAAAAACCCTAGCTTGATATATCTTGGGTAGGTAGGTGAAACATAAACACCCCGTGAGGAGGTCAATGTCCAAACTACCATCTTATTCCTCACTCCACTAATCCCAGCTCTCCCAACAAGCCATTATGGACCTAGCAGATGCTGAGGGCCAACTGAAGGATATCTCCTCTCATGAGATTGAGAATGTGAATATTACTGAGGCAGTATCGTTTACTTCCGAGGAAGAGAAGGCATTGGTGAGGAAGATTGACCTCACCCTCCTGCCTACCATCTGGATCATGTACCTCCTGTCCTACCTTGATAGAACCAAGTAAGTGGGGTCTTAAAGCTAGAGCCTGTATACTTTTTAGGGGCTAATGCGTTTGTGTACAGTATCGGTAATGCAAAGATCTCTGGTATGGAGGTAGATCTCAGCTTGACGTCCAACCAATACTCGATCGCTTTGGTAGTCTTCTTCATCGGATATGTGGTTTTTGAGGTACCTAGCAAGTATGGCAGTCCCATCATCAGTACTCAGCCCTCAGTCTCACATCATGATCACTAATTGCCCTCTCTCTACAGCCTTGCCCTGGGCAAATCCCGGCCTTCTATTTTCCTCCCGTCAATTATGATCATCTGGGGCGCATTGACTTGTGTGATGGCTGTTGTCAAAAGTTTCACACACCTGGTGGTCCTTAGAGTCATTCTTGGATGTGTCGAGGCTGGCTTTGCTCCCGGTGTGCTACTTGTCCTCTCATCATGGTACAAACAAACCGAACAATCGAAGAGATTCGGCGTTTTCATCTCGGCGGCCGTTCTATCGGGTGCCTTTGGTGGCCTGATCGCTGCCGGCATTGTTGATGGTCTTGAGGGGGTTCATGGTATTCGTGGTTGGCGGTGGCTATTCATTATTGAAGGTGCAGCCACTGTCGGTTTCGCTATTATTTCTCTCTTCATCCTTCCTGACTTCCCCGCGACATCGCGACATTTCTCTGAGCGCGAGAAGCAGGTCGCCGTGGCACGCCTGGCCACTGAGAATGTCACCGCCACCACTGAGGATAGTGAGCATCTGAGTAGCCTGGACGCTTGTAAAGTGGCTTGCCAAAACTGGCGGACCTGGGCGTTCATCATCGGGTACATGGTTCGTGGACCCTCCTTTCCTGGCTCTCATATTTAACCTCCAATGACTGACCATGCTATCCTCCACAGGTCATCGTCGGTTCAAGTACCCTAACCTACTTCTACCCAACCCTTGTAGAGGGGCTTTTCGGAGACGCATCCACCAAGAAGGTCAACTTATTGACTGTCCCAATTTACGGCGTAGCATTCATTGCCACCGGTATCACATCCTACTACAGCGATAAAGTTCCCACATGGCGCGGCTTAATCATTGCTAGCTGGCTAACAGTCTCCCTGATATGTTCAATTATCGTCTGTTCTATATACAACTTCACCGCTCGATACATTCTCCTGGTTTTCATGGCAGCAGGCCTTTGGGCCACAAATGGAGGCACACTAGCCTACGCCTCCTCTGCCTTTGCCGGGATGCACCCGCAAGCCCGAGGTGTTGCTTTGGCCATGGTGAATGCACTGGGTAATCTGGCACAAATATATGGATCGGTACGTATCTCGCTAGCCTCGTTACCCCTACAAGGCTAATCCAAGGCTTGCAACAGTATCTTTTCCCGGAAGATGATAGTCCTAAGTATATTATGGGGTTTGCTGTTATTTCCGCGATGCTGGCTGTGGGCGTGGTTGTCTTTTTGTTCTTGCATATCTGGTTCCGGCGCCGTCTGCAGGATGGTCTCATTCAGTGATGATACGCTGGTGTGTTGATTGTTGACTGTTGAATGGTGGAAGGAGATATGGATCGTACATATATATGAGTCTCTTGTATAATGACAGCGGGAGTTGCTAAGACCGAGCGAGACACTAAACACAGGGGCCAGGTGTAGATGATGGTCAAGGTGTCGCAAAGTAAGTCCAGTAATCAGGCTCTAACTAATTGGTTGATTAGACGAGAATCTTGCTACATCCCAGCCCGAAATAGATACAATGTTGCACATAGAGAAGTATGGCTTTGAGAATATAGGCCCCAAACCCCGTAAGGGATCTGAAAAGAGGTCAAGGCTTCTTGGGTGAAGCGGGTTGATGAGTAGTATTTTCTCCCAAATCGGTGGCTATCACTTTCTACTCACTACCTGTAGTCAGATTATATGGCTCACAGGAAGTTGGTTCGCAGACAAGCCCCCATCTTTGCTATTGGCATAACCGCGAAAACAAAGGCCTGCACGTTCTTTGCCAGCCTGTTGTGCGGCCTCGAGACTGGTGGCGTAAGATATAGGCACTGAGTGTAGAGATTCCAGGTCGGGAGGTCTTCAGAGCTTTTCAAATGGGTTTGGGCGGTGCATTTGTGCCTAGCCTATGTCCGGTCTATGCAACCGAATAACAACAGCTCCATGTTGCAATTGTCATCTCATCAGGCTACTGAAAGCATCCTTTGAGTACTCAAGCTCAAGCTCTTTTCTGAGGGAGATTAGGGGCCAACGGACCCTGCGCTGACATGAGTCAAGAAGGTCCAAAAGCGCGAGTCGTTCGTGTGGAGTGTGTACACACATTCCCGCTATCAAATATTAGCATTATACGATAAAGGGAGGTTCCAGGTTATCCTACCCCCAAATAAACAGTTTAACGAGGTCATGTTCGCTGCCTCATCGTTTTCATCGACAGATCTTGCAATTCCACAAATTGTGCTCACAGAAACTGCCAGCATATGCTGTGTTGAGCGATAGTCATCAATGCCGCCGGTGGATGGACGGTGCAAGATGACGAGGATCAGGGCGAGACTATAGATTTGCAGAGCCGCGGCGTATGACGGTGGATGCACCCAAATCGGCGGAAAGATTTCACTACTGGATACGGAAGGCAGAGGGCTGTATTCTGGCGGTAATACTTCACGCCATTCTTGGAGCAAAGAGAGCAGCTCATTTCCCCGGTCCACGCGGCGCTCTAGACCTGAAGCTTCCTCTTCTTCTTTCGATGCATAGTTGATACACTGGGAAAGCAGGTACAAGGCACGAGTTGCGAGCTCTGACATCATGAGCGTGGACACTGGCTTTCTAGGTTTCCAGAAACTAAAGACTCGACGTCGTCTTCTGATGGCAGCCCAGATATCCTGTTGAAGCCAAGCCCACCAGACGGCTGATCGGAGCCCTCCTGATTCTCCGTTGTTGCCCTGGAGTTGTTGCCTCCAGGATATACCTTTTAGATGTCTTTCCCAATTCTGATTCGAGCCGTCAATCATTTCGTAGGTGCTGATGAGGATGGCGGTCACAATCAGATCTAAGCTCCGCGCATGGGATGGGTACTGCATTGCCTTGTTCAGATAATCAAGGGCCTCTGAGTAATATTTAGCCGCAAGATTGCGGTCCATTGTATCTTTCCCACGCCTCGGAATTTCATCCTTTTTAGCTGATGTACGGACAACATGATCTTTCTCAGCTTTTCCAAGTGAGAGATGTCGCGCAGAAAGAGCCAGTAATGCTTTTATTAAACCGACATTCTGAAGCGCTATGTGCGAAACCGCTGTTGCAAAATGCATTTCTGGGTCATAAAAATCCAGCAACTTGCTTGAGACGCGCACAAAATGCTGGAAAATATGATGCTCTACGTCCGAAAGAGGAATTGGGTACCTTGAGGTCCATGATGAGGGCGCCTTGGTCGCAACGGACGAAGTGCCGGGTGATTGTGGCACAACTCGCTGTCCAATTTCCGGACTGAAGGCCGTAGCATGAAAGCTCTCCTGGTCTCTTAATGTGTGAGGGCGCAGGTTGGAGCTATTCTGCGAGTCCTCTCCAGTCTCGATCCGATTGCGAGATACCTGCGACGGCGACAGCAGAAACCCACCATCAGGATTGTTGACATCCTTTGCCAAAGGCTGTAACCATCGTAAGGGTGTACTTCTTGCTTGTGTGCCTGATGATGATACATAGCTATCGGACGGTTTGGGAGTGGGGATTACCACATTCTCGTCCGTGCCGGCATGATGTGCCTCCACGGAAGAGCTATTTTGGCGAATAGACTGTTGACCTTGGTGGCGAGAGTCCACCACGACCTGCAGGGATCTAGTGCTAGAGTTGCTGCCGCTGTTATGGTCTCCACTAACTTTGTCTGGCGGGGACTCGGACGCTCCTGGATGGGCAGTAACGTCACGGCGATGCGAATGCGCGTAGACACAGGGACGCCGTCCCTTTGCACAGGGACCGCATTGAGGATGGACCTGGTCGAGTCAGACATATATCCCTGGCAGATCAATTTTTTTATACATGCAAGGGCACATACTTCATCGCACTTGACGTGACGGCGTTTACAGATAAGGCTAGGGCTACGTGAGATGCCCGAAATAGTCAAGTATTCGGGGAAGGCAAAGATACTAACCAACCAGTCGTAGCGCGAAGACCGCGTCCTCGGGACTTGCGTTTCTGCCAGATTATTCCCTCTAACTTGATCATGACGTGCAAATAGGGAAGAATGATCCAGTCGAGGTCGTGGAGTGAAGTGTGGGGAAAGTAATAATGTTGAAGGCCGAAAGTGGTGAGGCAGAAATTCAGGGGCCATGCCGAACGCAGGAAAATACGTGACACTCTGCCCGTATACCTTTTGCTATGTAAGTTCAATAGACATAGGGACATCTACGTGAAAGGTCTGTGGTCAATTATGCTCTAGCAGGGTCCCTACGTGGACTCGATGCGAGGTACCATTTAATCTGACCCACCCGTTAGTGCAGGCCCCAAATCATCTTGGCACCCTTGGTCAGTTGCAGTATTTCCAAAGCGAACAAGGGGCCTAGGTAGCAGTCCTCGAAGATGCGAGTGCAGGCATCTTTGGACTGCCCCATTCGTCAATAGAACTGCACGGTTCCAGTCTATCGAAGCACTGCTATATGCATCTAAGCGGCATCGGAGTCGTCTGGCGGTATAGAAGACCATGGCAGACTTAAAAGGTAGCCCTTCCAGCCCAAGGACTTCACAATCCTTTCAACCTTTATAATCCTTGCAGTACACAAAAGATCCTCAATAATGCCCCCAGAAATGCTCGACGCCGCCAATACTAACGGCAACGGCAGTGTCGGGACCCCAGCCCAAGAGACCTCTGATGTGTCACCCACCTTCCTTGACACCCAGCCAGGTCCAGATCATGACTGGAGAATTACTTTGAAGGACAAGGTCATCGCCATCACCGGTGCCAACAGGGGCATTGGTCTGGCCATTGCAGAGGTCTGTTTAGCCAACGAGGCTGCCGCCGTCTTCAGCCTGGACGTATTCGAACCTGGCGAGGAGTTCGCCGCCCTGCAGAAGGCCAACACGAAGCGCTTAAGCTACGTCCATTGCGACGTCACATCTGAGGAGAGCGTCAACTCCGCTATCGATTCTGTCATCTCCGCACGAGGAGCTATCCACGGCTTCATCGCCAACGCCGGCATGACAAAGCACCAGCCGGCGTTCGACTTCAGCCGCGCCCAGCTGGACCAACTGTTCAATCTCAACGTGTTTGGCGCCTACTTCTGCGCTACTACTGTGGCCCGCCGGTTCATCGATCTGGGAATCAAGGGTTCCATAGTCTTCACGGCTTCCATGACATCCTATCGCCCCAACCGCGCAGCGCCCTCGGCTCCCTATGGAGCTACCAAGGGTGCCGTGCGGAATATGACCCATACGCTGGCCATGGAGTGGGCCAAGCATGGCATTCGCGTCAACTCAATCTCGCCGGGCTTTATAAAGACCGCTATGACCTACTTTGTGGATCAAGCACCGGACTGGGACCTCAAAATGCAATACTATGGTGGCATGCGAGATTGGCCGACCCCAAGGAGCTCGGCGGGGCTTATGTGTACCTGCTCTCTGATGGTGCTTCATACACGACCGGTATCGATATTCCGATTGCTGGTATTGTAGGAGCGTGGTAGGGGGTGAATTCATGATAACGATGGAAGATATCCACTGATGATGCGGACAAGGTGATTCAAGAGCTCAACTGAAATAATACTGATTTTCTTTTCTTGTATCTACTATCAGTACATAGAACGCCCGTGGTAGAACGGCCTTTGCTTTTAGTATCTCTAGCTCCCCATGGAATGAATTATCCCGGCTAGGTTCGCACACTTCATCCCTACAACTCATTCCTGCCACACTTTTTTGAGTTGAGAAACAAGCCCCCTAGCGGGAAATTTACTAATCCTCAGCATCTTTTCCAAAGTACGGAGCAACTCGCCGCGCATCTCGGGCGAACGAACGAACTGGCCAACTTAGGTTTCGTCAGCCAGGACAGAAACGAATCAAAGAGAGACACTTACCTCCAAACAAAGCCTGTACGTTAACAAAGGCCGTTGCGAATTCATGTTCCTGGCAGGCATTGGCGATACCACAGACCATTTTGACACATTCACTAAGTTGCTTGTCGCGGAGACAGTAGGCGTTCAGTCCTCCCATCGTGGGTTGGTTCAGCAGCACCATGGCTCTGGCAAAATTGTACATCTGCATCGCGCCTGCATGGTTGGGCGGATGAATCCATATAGCCGGGAACACAGTAGCATCCGAGACAGGGTCCATGGCGACGGTGACCGGTTGGTAAGAGGCGGGGAGGACACGATGCCAATCGTCGAGTGCGCAGAGAAGTCGGTCACCCTGCTCGATTCTGTGTCTTGGATCCTGAGTTGACGCCGTCCCATCCGAAGCGGCATAGGCTACGCACTTGCCGCATATGTAGACTATCCGTGTTGCGAGCTCATCCGAGTCAAGCTCCTCGAGCCCTTTTCGAGCGCGCCAGAAGGTGAGCGTTTGCCGTCCTGCCCGGAAAGCCGCCCATATGTCCTGCCGGAGCCATGCCCACCACACAGCCTGTCTTAACCCGTCCACAGACTCGCCGTCATTTTCCTGAGACCGTTGTATCCAGAACGAGCCGCGCAGGTGTTTCTCCCAGTCACCGCTTGTCGTGGCGCCGTCAGCGTCAAACATCTCGTACGTGCTGATCATGGTGGCTGTTGCCAGTATCTCACGGGAGTCTGCATAGGAGGGGTAAAGCAGTGTCTGGGAAAGATATTGAAGCGTTTCATAGTAATACTGTGTAGCCATGTGGGCCGGAGCAGGGTCTAGTTCAGATGGCAGACAAGTCGCTGCTGCTAGTGAGGTTGGAACACTCGCATCTGGAGCGGCAAGGTCGCCTGGAACAACTTCACCGGGCACATGTGTGAGACCGAGAGACATGTGCTTAGCCCCAACTGCGAGTATCGACTTTAAGAGCCCTCTATTTCGTAGTGCAAGATGGGGCACGGCATTGCTGAAATGCCGAGCGGGATCAAACAAGTCTAGGATTGGCCCAACAACTTCGATGTAGTATCGAAAGAACCTGAGGTCGATTACCGATAATTTTATCCTACTCGCTGTGTTCCAAGGCTCGGGTACCTGATAATGGTTCAGTAAGGGCGCCTCGACTCTGTCGTCACGATGTTCCAGAGCGAGCTGATGCTGCTCAGAGTGCCTCCTGGATTGCTCGAGGTGGTTCTCAGGACATTCAGGGGCTGGTGACTGTCTACGAGAGAGGGCAATCTCGGGAAACTTCCATCGTGGGTCGCCCGTAGAGGCATCGTTCAGCCGTTGAATGTTGCTGATGGCATCCCGTGCTAGCAAGTCGTACCACTCGAAAGGAGAGATGTTGAGCAGGGAGACCTGGCTAAGTGAAAGTGGAGAAGCTGAGAAGGTTGGGTCAAGGCTGGACAGTCTCTGGTCATTGGCTTCATTCAGATAGTCATTCTGTGGCGTCTCAATCTCGCCATTAGGGTATGCCGTAGGGGCCGAGCAGGTAGGCTGATGAAAGCATGGTACTGTACCAGCGCTCGGCAGCTGCTCCTGAGCCCTCTCCCCTCTTGAATTGGGTTGCGCCCTTGGGGACTCATAGTCGGCTGACTCGGCTCCAGCTCCGGTTACATGTCGCTGGTCAGCGACCTGGGCATATCGACAGATTCGATCTGACTTGGAGCACCGCATGCACGTGGGCTTACCATCGTCGCACTTCACACGTCTCTCCCTGCAAGTGAGACTGCCATGCGTGTAAGCGAGTTTGGAATTGACTGAGCTGCGTATCCACTCACCATCCTGTCTTGGTTCTCAAGCCGCGGGCCCGAGAGGGTCTGATGCGGCGACGCTTAGTCCCCGTGGCGATGCCCTCAGTTGTTGATTTTCGTCGTGCACTACTATTAACGTCCATTGAGTCTACATTTGTTTGTGGTTTCGTCTCGAAGACCGACCCGTCAAATATTCCTAAATATTCCTCGGCGTTCATTAAATTGCCCCCGCTTTGGCCTGACCCACTTCAAAGCTCTGGGGTTCCCATTAGTGGGGAAATATGGCCACTAAACCAGTCTCACTCGCTCGTAGTGCAAAGGCGTTTGGTTAGCTGCGCAGCTTGCATAAATCATCTGGACTCTTAGGCGAGGCGAGCTAAACACCAATCATGGGAAAGATGGGTGGCTCGACCCCGTTCACTGCCTATACTTCAACCAGGATTCATGTAGACTCGATCCTACTATGGTAGGTACTCATAGTAGGTACAGATAGTATATCTGCTGCATATGTGAATATTGCATATTGCCACAACAAGCCCGCTTCACTGAAGTAAATCTGTAGGTCTAAGTGATAACAAGTAAATGCAAGGCTAAGAATATGGCGGACTCGGCGTGCTGAAATCATCCTCGAAGACAACCTAGGGATAAGTTGTGCTTATTCACGTTGAACAGGTTACAGAATGGCCGTCACGTTTTCCCAGTCATCTGACAATTCTCTCTCATTTGCTTACGTATACCCTCAGGTTTCTGAATAAGGTATATTGTTGGCGCTGCCTAGTTAGGATTAGCGCTGTTTCTTCCTAAGCCAGCACAGTCATGTTGATAGATTCATCATTCAAGCAACCCAAGCAACAGAATAGGAATGCAACTCATCCCCTCAACAATATATATTGACACCCTGCGCAACCGGAGTTGACCGGCATAGTGGGCTGAAGGCTCTCGATGCGAGGGCCCGCTGCCTCGATACGAGAGATTCTCACCAACCATCATGTCCACCCTACGGCAATAGCAGTTTTGTGCAAAATTGCCTCTCTACAAGCTCAATTCTTTCTATTGACACTGCTGGGGTTGGAGCATCTATGGCTTCGTCTCGACTTCGAACAGCCACGATCGAGTATCGCCGCAATTCATTGATTCTAAGGCACGCGACAGACATGGAATGATGTCGAGTATAAGAATTGACAGTCGGCTCGAATCCTTCTGCTAGCTAGTTACAACTTGGTAACATCAAGATCTATTCTCAAACAACTATTTCAGTCTCACAGTCAGCCCTGCTCTTACGCCATGGCGCCTACGCTGGAACTCCTTGAGGAGCCCGCCGAGAATGTGCCGGTCAAGGCAGTCTCAGCCATCCGCAACGGGGCTTCTGCTGGTGCTGCTGCTAATCTCAGATTAGAGAGCCCAGAAAAGCATCAACGGGTGATGAATGTCTTCCGAGCCTTCATCGCGGATCTCTGTCAGCAATACGGCGAAGGCCACGCTGGGTAAATCGACACCCTCTTCACGCATTTCTTTGTTCACAGCGTGCGCTAACTAGGCCTCATCACAGATCTCCCATGGGCATGGCTGCCATTGGCATTGCCCTATACAAGTATGTCATGAAGTACTCGCCAATGAATTGCAACTACTTTAACCGGGACCGCTTTGTTCTTTCGAATGGTATGTCCTCTACATCCGCAGAAGCCAGGCGATATGTGACTGAATTAGATTCATGACAGGTCATGCCTGTCTGTGGCAGTACCTTTTTATGCACCTTGTTGGCGTCAAGAGCATGACACTTGAGCAGCTCAAGTCATACCACTCATCAAAGCTCGACTCGGTCTGCCCTGGTCATCCCGAAATTGAGAACGAGGGCGTGGAGGTCACAACTGGGCCCCTCGGTCAGGGCCTCGCCAATGCCGTTGGCCTTGCCATGGCCACTAAAAACCTTGCTGCGATATACAACAAGCCCGGCCATGAGTTGGTGAATAATATGACTTGGTGTATGGTCGGTGACGCTTGCCTTCAGGAAGGCGTTGGCCTCGAGGCGCTCTCCCTCGCTGGTCACTGGAAGCTAAACAACCTCTGCGTTATATTCGACAACAACTCGGTTACATGTGACGGAACTGCAGACGTTGCCAACACCGAGGATATCAACACCAAGATGCGGGCTACTGGGTTCAACGTCGTAGACGTGCACAATGGAGACTCGGACGTTGCTGGTAGGTCTCGGAGAATCTTTACCTTGGTGAATTAAATAAACGGCTCTGCTAACGCGTATCAGCCATTGTAAACGCCCTTGTTGCCGCTCGACTGAGCGATAAGCCCACCTTCCTCAACATTCGCACCACGATTGGTTTCGGATCGGCAATGGCCGGCACCGCCGACGTACATGGAGCTGCCCTCGGAGTCGACGAAGTGGCCAACGTCAAGAGGTCGTTCGGTCTCAACCCTGACGAGCACTTCCACATCCCCCAGGACGTCTATGATTTCTTCAGTGACATTCCTTGCCGTGGTGAGGCCCACGAGGCGGGCTGGCAAGCGGCCCTGGCGAAGTATCATGAGAAAGATCCCATACTAGCGGCTGAATTTGAGCGCCGTGTTGCGGGAAAGCTACCTGAAGACTGGACCAAATGCATTCCTCACAAGGAAGAGCAGCCTACTGCACCCACGGCCTCACGAAAGTCAGCCGGCGTCGTGACCAACGCCCTTGGACAGAGAATTAATTCATTCTTGGTGGGCACAGCAGATCTTACTCCGTCTGTCAATGTCGCATACAAAAACAAGGTCGACTTCCAATCGGTGAGTGTACCATGCTCAGTATTCCCTTTTTCGTGCGTCCAAGCAGGGTATTAACGTAAAACCCAGCCCGAACTCCAAACGGCGTGCGGCCTGAACGGAAACTACAGTGGTCGATACATCCACTACGGTATCCGCGAGCACGCCATGTGCGCCATCTCCAACGGGCTTGCTGCCTTCAACAAAGGCACTTTCATCCCCATGACGAGCACATACTTTGTCTTCCACTTGTACGCCGCGGCCGCTGTGCGCATGGCCGCACTCCAGGGCCTCCAGCAGATCCACATCGCCACGCACGACAGCATCGGTGTCGGCGAGAACGGACCTACGCACCAACCCATTGCCGTTGCTGCCCTCTACCGTGCTATGCCTAATGTTCTCTACATCCGTCCATGCGACGCTGAAGAAGTGGCCGGTGCCTACATCGCCGCCATCCAGGCCACAGATACGCCTACCATCATCTCGCTCTCCCGGCAGAGCCTGACCCAGTACCCCCAACACTCCTCGCGCGAGGGCGCACTCAAGGGCGCGTACATCTTCGTCGAGGCCGAGGACGATGATTTCGATGTGACCTTGATCGGAGTCGGCTCTGAGATGGGCTTCGCCATGCAAACTCGGGAGTTGCTTTTCAGAGACCATGCCATTAGGTCCCGAGTTGTTTCCTTCCCTTGTACTAGGCTCTTTGAGCAGCAGTCACGGGAGTACAAGCAATCGGTTTTGAAGCCGCGCGCTGGAAGGCCCACGGTTGTAATCGAGGCATACCCGTCCTACGGATGGGAGCGCTATGCCGATGCTGCGGTGTCGATGAACAGCTTTGGAAAGAGTCTTCCTTCAAAGGAGGCGTACGAGCACTTTGGATTTGCGCCGGAGAGCATCGCACCTAAAGTCAAGGACTTGGTGGAGGAAGTCAGGCGTGACGGTATTGAGACCCTGAGGGGCGATTTCAGGGATTTCAACGGTAGCCTGCGGGTTGGTTTTGTGCATTGAAAGAGATTACAAAACATACGAATGATGTATATAGCCAATGAATGTATAGAATGACGCGCCTGAAATGGATAATAAGAGGTTTTCACCAGCTCTAGGTCTTCCAATACAACGTAACAATCGACAACAAGCTCCGCAACGCTGTAGTGACTGCGGGATATTCAGGTATAGTAGTTATAGGAAGTCTCCTTAATAAATAGTACAATTTCTCTTTAGAGTTAGCCAAGTAATTTTGAATTTTATAGTTCAAAGCTTCAGTGGATGTATGAAAACTGCCAGTTTCGAGAGTCGAATACAACATATTTCACTTTCCTATAAGTACTAATAGTCACTCTACCTAGTTACTATGGTGTGATTAGCGGAACCTTGGGACTATATGCCATAGTAGGATAAAACTTTATATTACTACATGCAGAATTACACCGTGTCTAGTTACATGATCAGATCCAGGTGGATTCGAAAGCTAAACAGAGGAGAATATAATTCCAGCTATATTAGATAGCTGCGCTTTAGAAATGTCTATACCGACAGTAGTTTACTCGCCTGTATTGACTTCGGTCAAGCAATTCATTGGGCCAGCCGGCCTGAGCCTACATTTATGTACGCCATAAAAATGCAACGGCTACTGAAAAGGAAAGCAAACTTTGGAATGGAACTATCACGATATACCAATTGACTAGCTAGCTCAATCTCAGAGACGTAGAAAATAACAAAGAAGGGCAGAAAGCACAAACTAAAAGGCGATGGAAATGTCGGTCCCATTCTTCTGCCGGTCAGTAGTTAGATCCTGGTCGGGTGACTGAGCAGGAGATGACGAGGAAGAGGCTGGAATCTACGTTCATATTATGCAACTCACTGAGTCACTGTGCCTTCCAGGCTCCAAGCCTTTCTTCATCCTGAACCCTCTTGTTCCTTCCTTTCTCCCACTCCCACCAAGTGATCTTCTGTTTGTCTCCTTTCACATCCCCCTCTCTTTCTATATTGTTGCTATTTCCCTTGCGTGCTTTCCTACAGCAAATTCTCCCTCGACACAATGTCCGAAATCACTCAGGCTCTGATTGTAACTCCATTCACGCCCAAGACGACCAAGAGAAAGAGAACACCATCATCAGAACAGTCTTCTCCTACTGAAAGCATTATTCTGTCTCCTTCTGATGTCTTCCAATCAGAGCCAGTCGCCCATTTAGCATCTTCTGCTATCTTCGCCGCGTCAAAGCGGCTTTTCCCGTTAGGGAGCGCCGTAATCAGTAAGATCCCGTTCTTTCTTTACTTATCCTTGAAACACGTGTTAATGATATTTCTTTTATAGTCGATAGGTTACCTTTGAGCTTTCGGACTCCCACACCGAGCCTGTCGTTGATCTTCAACCCTCACGACATATTGTCCTTCCCTTCAATGTTCGGCAGAACCGGAAAGCCCTGGATGAAAAGGCATGGGAGCACCTATGGAATCTCTTTCCAGACACCCAAGCCGTGTCATTCGATGGGTACTTTTTAGTGTTTACTCTCGGCTCCCTGCCCGAAAAGCCATGGCCGATTACCGTTGCAGGTGTCCAGCCATACTTCACTACCGACCTAAATGATGACGGACCAATCCCTCCAATTAAGCGCGCAAGTAAAATAGTACGCCGCATTTTCGTTGAAGAAAATCTTACCAACGTTCCGCCAGCCAAGATTGATGCAGCCTTTGAGCTCGTTATCAACTACTTCTCAAGCTCCAACATTTCCGTTACAGAAATTCAATATTGGAATAATTTCTTTATCGTTGTCCTTGAAAACGAGGATGTGAATATGGCTGAGGTTCCCAGTACAATTGGACGTTGTGCGTGTTTTTACCTGTATGAAAAGGAGATGGGCCGTCCTCATTCGGCTGAAATTCCAGCCCAACGAATCTTTGACCCAACTGAGGACGTCGTAGATAATAGTGAATATGAAATTTTGCGTCCTGGTGTAATGCTCAGTTCCAGTAAGCACCCAGTCAATGGAATGGAATCGCATACGACTTCGGGTGTGCTCGTCGAAGATGGGATAGGCGAAAGATACCTGACTGTCGCGTTGCACGGTTTTCCAGACGACGATAGGGTCTTCCACCCATCCACAGAAGGCACGCATATTGGCCAGGTTACTATGGAAATCTCATACGCCGACGTCGCACTTGTCAAGCTGAATGGGGATGTCCAGTTTGTGAATGAAACTTTCGAGACCACATCCCTCGGCGTGCCACCCGCGAAACTAGAGGAATTCATACTCGCAAATGAGTCTCAAATCGGCACCCCAATTTATATGAACAATCCATTTACCGGGCACTCCGAAGGGACATGCGGCCCGCATTCCCGACTGCGGATCCCTAGCGACGATCCTCACGAAGTACCAATGGAATGGATCAGGGATAGGTGGGTCTATATGGGCCAAGGGTTCATTGATCGCCCGGAAGATAGTGCCTGCGGATCGGTAATTTGGAATGATGATGGCCAAGTCCTGGGGTTCTTTAGATACGCTTCGAGGTCAGAGCAGTTTAGGGACTGGTGCTTTGTGGTGGCATCTGATAACCTTATTGAAAAGGGATTCAAGATAGCTGCGCGGTGAGCCATCGCCCGGAAGATGGTGCCTGCGGTCAGCAACTTGGAACGATGATGGTCAAGTCCTGAGGTTCGTTAGTAAGACTTCAAGATCAGAAATATAGAGTCGAAGGGGCAAGTACTCAGAGCCAAGAGACCAGTGACAATAGTGGCTCCAGCAATAAACAACACTCCTTTTTTATCGACTCAACCTTTTTAGAATATCGAATACTTTTGGACAAGGCAAAGGCTCTTCTGTTCTTAAACACCGATAATCAGAAAGCAAAGGTCTTGCAATACCTCCAGCAGCTTCAGCAACAACTTTGATTCTTGGAAGACTCCTGCTCTGATAATCTGCCCAATACCAATCTAGAACAGATATATCGAAGAGCAGAAGAATCTCTGGTGGTAGTTGAAGGGCCCAGAAGAAGAGAAACCTACATCCATACAACAGCTCCGACCAATCTACGACCAGGTTGACAAAACCATAAAAATAGACAAGACACACTTAATAGCAAGCTTCGCTGATATAGAAAATACAATCAAGAATACTTTCAATTTCAGTTTCGAGGATCTCCTCAAAAGAATCACCCTCATTATCTCTATAAAAGACAATTTCATATCCCTACTAGACACAATCAACAATAGTACTAAATAGGCCCACGACTATCTCTCGTAGATCTCCAAAGATTCTAGGGTCAGTATCAACAAATGTTTCCTTTTGCACTTTGGCACCCAGATTGAAGGGTCTATTAAAGACCTATATGAAGGGTACACCATCCTTGCCGACGGAAGCGCTCAGTTCGATGACCCAGGATGTGCCAAACTGGTTTTGTTAGAATCAGACCTGAACAAGCTCCTCGCGGATTTTAGTGCTGCACTCGGAGATGAGTGTCTCAAGCAAGTCAAGGACAATTTCAATCGATATGTTGGCGAGTTATATATACACCGTTGCTACTCCATCACGTTCCCTCTCACAGCGGTCATACTGATGCTCGTCGATGCTATTCTAGAAACTACCCAAGCCCGCAAGTCATACAGCAACTCATCAACTATATCGGAACTGTTGAGTCTCTGGATAGTCAAAAGAAGGAGATAATCCGTGAATAGTATGATGTCCTCGGGCTAGAACACCCAACATTGACCGCGTTCATGCGCACGCTATATAATTTAACGATACAAGGCGCGATCCAGGCGAGCCCGAGGGTCTAGGCACTGCCTGTGACGTTTTAGCCTAGTTAGGAATACACTTCCCTGAACGCCCGTTCTTACAGGTAGGCTGTTCGTATGGAATAGAAGCCTGTAGACACGGAAAGCCGGATGACTACCCTTTATTTATGCCATGAAAATGCAACGCCTACTGAAACAGAAAACAAAATCTTGAAGGGAAATACCACTGATGATCGGATTGGAGGATGAGAGCTGACGGGAAACGAAACACGGTAGTTACCATGAATTAGAAATCCATTTGCAGGCAACAAGGCCATGCTACGCATTGCCGCATCGCGTGTCGAATTATGAATGGCATTACCACCACACGAGCAGCTATGAACCGGGGCTTCGATTTCCTCGAATCCTGTTCATAGAGCCAGAAAAGATTCGCCATCCGATGAAAGCGAGAATGGCAGGCTGGCAGGCTATTTCCGAAAGCGTCGCGCCGATGCAACCTCAATATCTCTGGCTCCAACCAATTGTGCGACCAATTGCCAAGCCCCCGAGAACCCTCGATGAATGCAACCCGAAACCGAAACACAAGGGAATTTAATCATTTCAGAAAGATTCCAGAGCATGGCCGTTCCATTGGCCGACCATAGGACGCAAGGGGGGCGGACGGAAGTTGCTCAACTCAGAAATAAAAGGCCCGACACCCCAGACGATCATACATTCTTGGGTCGACATATCATCCATCAATCACTCGTCCATGCAGGCTTTTGCTAAACCAGCAACATGTCGGAGACTAATCAGCGTTTAATCGTCATCACCATCAACGGCTACCGCAAACCGGGGTTGACAGAGGAGGAGCTCCACCACCACCTCTGCAACGTACATGCGCCGAAGGCTGCGCCTTTCTTGGAGAAATATGGTATCCTGGAATACAATGTGGTTAGTTTGGGATTGACCCTGTCGCTTTTTGTGGGGGGATTGCATGCATGCTAACTGTTGTGATCTTGCAGATCGATAACTTCAGTGCCGCCCGGCCGCATGCCGAATACCTGCAGATGTCGAAGAAGCTCTCCGACCATGACTATATTGTTCAGTTCGTAATGAAGGACGTCGAGGATTTCAAGAAGGTCTGGGAAGATCCCGAGTTTAGGAAAAATGTCATGCCTGACCATGAGACCTTTGCGGATACGACTCACTCTGGGTATGTGACTATGTCCCTTTTACCATTTTCTCTGCACCGCTGGCTGACACGAATAGCATCTGCATCGGATACATGACCAGCTTTTTGAACGGGGGGAGAGACCCACAAGGCCGGCTGAAGAACTGAATGGGATGAGGGTGTATGGTGCTATGGAGTTATGGGTTGGAACTGTTCACCTGTCATTATCGAACAATATTTCAGATTTGCTTCGTCTTTATCAATTCTACGATATTCAATCAATCAATCTAGTATAATACCCACCACTGTAAATCCTCTAACACCCCTAGTGATATCTGAAGATCAAGAAGAAGAAAAAAAGCCAATAGAATAACCATCCCTTGCAGATCCATCCCCCAACCCAACAGCCCCTGATTGAAAAGAGTAGTGGCCAGAAGGACAGTATGTGGGAAAAAGCCGGCCCTGACAGCAACAACCCCTGCAGAAGATTGCTGGCGATGTGACAGGTATCGCACAGCGATCCATACACGGTATCCGTGCCGCCTGACATTACGCTTTTTGCATCTACTATTGCAGCTTCCTTCCAATGACCCCACAAGGTATGCTCTAGCCGTCTCCCTATCGATGCATATTGGGTATCACAAGATACTAGGGGGGCACGTCCCTGGCAGCGGACATGGCACATAGTCAGGACCAAACCTGTCTCCGGGGCTATCTACAGCCAAAAATAAAAGACAAGAAAAGCTCTAGCTCCCAGACTATAAGAATCAGCTTTACACCCGTAAATTGGCTACTGCAGGACAAGACAAGCAACTAAGCCAAGATGAAGCTTTCACTTGCAGTCTCTTTCACAGCCCTCGTGGCTACCGCTGTGGCTGCCGACATAGAACAGGACATCCCGCAGTGTCTGGTACGTTGCTTACCCCGTGCCTACCGATCATTCCTTTGGATACTGACGGAGGAATCCAGGTCAACTGCATTAAAAAAGTGAATATTTGCAGTGGAATCGACATTCCCTGTTTCTGTGACAACACGGTGTTCCGTTTGGCAGTGACACAGTGTATGAGTGGTATTGATGGAAAGGGTGAAAAATGCTCGGAGGAGGATCAAAAGAGTAGGTTTCGCGTGAAAGCGTTTCAGCCCCTTGGCTTTGGGCTAATTGTTTCGGTAGTTGTTTTAGATTGGGACAGGTCTATCTGCGATTAGTGAAAGATTTAAGCTGGGATGGCTTTGGTCAGTACGATTTAATGTACCAGAAGGATGTGTGGTTGGAGAGTTATCTAGGCTATCACTAGATTCAAGAAGGCTGAAATGACGGACCATTCTGATATAGCTTGCAAGTTGAATCGCCAGCGTTCTATACATTCCGATCTATACAAAAGTTACCTATACAGAACATAACAACATTGTTAAGAACCCGAGACGATGAGAACGTAAAACATCATAGCAAGAAAACTTATCACCGCTCCCATTCGTCATGTAGCTTCGTATCCATATTGATATAACCTGCCACCACCTCCAACCCCCGTCGTCTCTCCTCTTCAATCATCTCCCAGGTCCACTCAACCATGCTCCACGACTCAGAATTTGCCTTCTTCTCCTCTTCCAACTTCGTCTCAGGGATATCACCCTCACTGACCTTCAGAACCTCCCTCACCAACGCCCCATCAACCCCAGCCGTAGCCGTAATCCCTTCCCCAGCCGGCGTCCCAACCCCGGAGCCCTCCACCGAACTATCAGCGACCAACACATCGCCCTCCGGACGCTGCGGCAAAAACCCACTGGCCCTGAGCACCCTCTCCGGGGGAACCGTAAGCCGGCCCTTCTTAACAACATACTTACTAACGGCCGTAGCAAAAAGCGACCTCTTCCCGCCGGCCTTCGCAGGCCTAAGGAAGAAACTCAACACATACATCCACTTCTGATCCCACGCAATCACCTTCGTCTCGATCTCATAGAGCTCGAATGGCTTGATCTCCCGCTTGAAAGAACAAAACACCGACCCAAGCGCGACATACATGTTCTTGTGCGCCGGCGGCTTCTTCCCCTCGCGCCGCGCAGCATCGCCGAGCTCGACATCGAGCTCCTTGCTCACGACACGCAGCCCCGGCGTGTACAGTCGCGTGACGAGCGCCGTCCGCGAGATGTCCAAATCCGAGAAATACGTGCTGTTGGACTTGTGGAAGTTGTAGTCTGTTTCCAGAATCGGTGTGCGTGATGTGATGGAGTATGGTACGAACACCGGGTGTGTGGCTTGCCCGTATGTGTTACCAGTGCTTTGCCCCGTGGAAAATGGGGGTCTCCGGGCTTGCGCCGGATGTTCCTCCAGAGGTGGTGGAAGATGCGGAGCTGCGGCGGGGATTAGTTTTGGGTCTGTTTTGACTCAGGCGGTTTTGTGGAGGTGGGGGTTAAGTGTAACGATGTTCATTTGGGGTGTATGTACTTACATGCCAGACAAATGGGAGGTTCTTCAGGTTGATGACTGCCAGGATTAGTGCTATGGTTTTCCAGGTCATGATGGATGAGGCTCCCGGGAGGAGGTCGCGGATTGTATCTGCGCGGATGGACACTGGGAGGCCCATGTTGGATTAGAGCCTTTTGTTTCTTTTTATTTAAAAAAATTTTTTTCCTTTGTTTTTTATTCTTTGAATATATGATTCCGGACCCGCGTGGATGTATAGAAAAAAAGGAGTACAGGGGTGGGTATAAATCGATCACTAAGGCCGAGGATTTGTACCGGTTGCGGTGGTACAAACGTCCCCGCGACAAAATCCAAGTCCAAATCGTGCAATTAAACTAGCCAGCTCACGGGTTTAAAAAGACTTTAAAGTCCAAGATTACACATTTCAGCTACGGCAGCAATCCGACTCAGCTTGTTGAAACGTTGGGGAATAGAAACCGAGGCATGTGTCACGTGCACGGACCGAAAGGATAGCTTATCTAATGTCGCAAAAATGGGATTCATAATCGTCATAACTTGCGCTGAATGTAGCCGGAAACTAAAAGATGGCCATACAATTAGGCGGACTCGAAACGCCCCGAGCACAATTCAGCGGACTGCTAGAAATAAAGAAGGTCCAGCGCCCCAGTTGCTTGCATGTCTCCGCCAACTCCTCCAGGTCGAACATTTCGCCGATCGGCAATCCCCAACCGGCAAGCATATGATGGTGTAGATCAAACTCGGGTTTGAGAGCCGGGAAGACCTCGAAACTCACCGCGTCGGATGCCACCGCTGCAAAGTGGTTATCCCACATAAACCGGAGCACGTTCTCACTCTGCTCGAGTCCCGCATGCTTGGGCACCGTTTGCTGGCTGTATTCCTGCTTCTGGGCGTCGCTCATGGAGTACCAGGTCTTGGTGAGGCCCACGCGGAGAAAGAAGATGTCTCCTCGCTGGAACTCGATGTTGCATTCGCGTGCGATGGCTAGCACATCGTCTAGAGGTACCACATGCTGGCTGAGTCCATTTACCGTAATGCCCTTCTTCTCGGCCCAGGATAAGTAGTCAATCAAGACGCCCCGACCGGCGATTCCCTTCTTAGCCCAGTACCCAATACCGATCCGTGATGAGTTCGAGTCCTGGATTTCTTCCGCTGTAGTACCACCGTAGAATACGCGGCGAGCTTGGTCCTCCAGCGTCGGGGCAGGTGCACTATGGTGTCGGAGTCCATCCCACTGAGAGGATTGTTGTGGATTAAAATGATACTCATCGTCGAACGCGATACCGGGAGCCACCCATTTGATGCGATGTTCGAAAGGCTTTCGGCGGAATCCTGCAGGCGAGTTAATGGGCCGTCCCGGGCATACTGTGGAATTTTATCGCAGCCAGCCACGGTAAAGGACTCTCCATGCTGATGCCGATGGTTCTCCTACCTGGTGTATCCAACTGTTCCAGATCCCAGTTTAAACAGACTCTCAACCCAGTTTGAATCTGTGTGCGCGCGGCATCCGCTACGATCTCCGGGGTCAGAATGCGAAGCATGCCTAGACCCTCTTCCGGTGATCCAGCGGCTGCCGGCCAGTATTGTCTCGTGTTGGGGAGATCGTCATATTTTTCAGGTAGATGGTCGATTCCGGTTGTCATGGCTGCTGGTGAAGGGAGCTGTTGGCCGAAATATATCGATCTAAAGATTAACTGCTCGGCGGGCGCATGGGAATGCCCCTCTTGGATTTATATCATTGCAGAAGTGGGGAAATTAAATTAATCGGACCATGTCCGATAGCAATTATTTAGAAAAGCAAAGAGATACCCAAGACAAGAACAGGAAGCCCGCTGACACCTCCGGATACATGGGTACTCCGAACTGTACATCTATATGCAATCTTGCTCATGGAAGAGTGAATCTCTGCTAAAGGAAACCATCTCAGCCATTTGCAGGCTCCAGATTTTAAGAGTTGACTGTGCAATTTCTACAGTATGGTGTATTCAAACAATAAAAGATACGGAAAACGGGAAAGGAAATAAGAATACAGCTTTATCCAGCTTACAGGTCATCCACATCTTGATCGGTAACTGCAGATTTACCCTGCTTATCAAGACGAGACATTTCGTGCTCTTCACCCGCACGTCCAGAACCTCCGGGAGTTGACATCGCGATAGCTTGTCGCCCTGTGTCGGACGACTCGAGGAATTCACGTAGCCGCTTTTTGCCCTCTGTCACTGCTTGGTTCGAGGCAGCCTCGGTCATTTTGATGATGGCCCATAGGTTAAGCTGGTAGGTGATGTAAGCTCCGACAGCACAGACGAAAAGGAGGAAGAAGTAAGCTGGGTTGCGGAGCACTGTTAATCCAGATGTTAGTCTTCAGCGGATCATATATAACCCAAGCACTAAAGTGATACTCACCGGCAATAATCTCATTCCATCCTAAAGCGAGGAGGATGCCATAGAAATACAAGGGCACTTGGGTCATGCCTCCAATGGCGCTCCGTTTAGCCTCAACATACACTCCATCCGCGGCCTTCTTGAAGCGAACAGTGAGCTCCTGTCGCTTGGCATCACTGACAATAGTCATTTCTTCTTCTAAGCTCTTGCCTTCCTCCTCGTCCACCCCACCAATGGGAGGCAGGTCTTCCTCATCAGCCGGGGTCGCGGAGCTAGGCGTGTGCCCGATCCAACGGTCCAGAGGGGGCGGGGCAGACGTCTCATCTAGTCGGAACTTGGACAGGAGGGGAATGAGAGTCAAGGTTGATTCGCGTGCGCGAGTGTATATCCCTTCGATATCATCGGTTGGGCGCCAGATCCGAGGAACACCAGCATCATCGTAGCGGAATTTATCCTCAAAGTTCTCGCGCAACTTCAACAGCAGATTGCCTTCGATCATCTCTTCATCAATCTTAGCGCGTAGAACGCCCCAGGACTTCCTCCGCAGTCTCCAGAGTCCGACGTCCACTTCCTCCAGGCTAGCATCGAAACTGCTAGCGCGGTCTGTGAATCGCCTCTCGGCATCGAGGACTGTCTCGACAAATACGTTCCACACGCGATCCCAGAATTTCTTTTCCGTTGGTTGATCTCCCTTCTCCGGCGCACCACTACCAGCTCGTCCAGAGCCGAGAGCGTTGAACTCAAGGCCAACAGATTCGCCCAGTCGAGACTGAACCCATCGTTCCACACGGCTGGCAAGACGTCTCATCTCGTCCCTTCTTAGGCGCGCACTGACTTCCGCAAGCTCCTTTTCATACAAGGCTAGCTCTTGCTTATAGTCACTCCAAGAAGTGCCATCCACCACGGTAGCACGAGCGACTTCCTCAAACTTGTCCACAGCCTTCTTAGCCTCTTCATTAACAATCTCTGCGAAATCGTACCCGGTGCCCTTCTTCTGGCCGGACTTCACAGTGGCCGAGACTGCTTCGCTAAAATCACTGATTCCCGATTTGTGCGCGGCATTGAGCTGACCCTGGAAAAGGGCCTTCAAACGGGTATCAGCTTTGCTTTCGAGCTCTGCCCTTTTGCGCTGGTAGACGCCTTTATGGTACCGACTAGCCTCAGTCTCAAAAGCCTTGACAGCCTTGGTGCGTGATGACCGCATCGCCGCTCCTAGGCCTCCAAGAATCTCCGGTTCTCCAAGGCGAGCGGCTTGCGACTGTTTATCTTCAAAGGGGATGATAGCCTCATCGAAGACAACCATCACTTCCCTCAGAATTTCGTCACACCTAAACTGCGCAAGCAACTCTTGTTGTGTGGGAAGATCTAGATCCTTATTGTTGACGATTTGGTCCCAGATGCCTTCGGCATATCGTGAAAAGCCGTCCGCAGGGATACGTCGGTGATACTCCGGGAGGAAAACACCGCCATCTGAGAATTCGCCTTTCCGCGCATCTAGGTTAGGGTCCCTCTGGCCGTCGCGGAAACGAAGACTAAGCTTCTGTGTCTCTTCCACAAACTTCTCTGGCTGGTATCCTTTGTGCGGCAGGCCGTAGAACTGGAAGTCGAAGTAATCATGTGCGTTCGAGTTCTCCAGGCCAGCAGGCTTAGATATTGAGTCCCAGAGACGAGCCATATCCTCCATCAAGGTCTTCTGCAAATTCTGGAGTGGTGTCATTCCCGAATAGTCACGAATGACGAAAAACAAAAGCGATCGATGAGTGGTACTGGCGATAAAGATTAGTACGAGAAGGAGCCGGAGACTGCGCTGGGGGTTTGTACTTTTGATCCTTGAGAAACAACTGCAAGTTGACTTCGAAGACAGTCTTTAGAAGCCCCATATTCGCGCCCTGGTACAATCCGACCTGGTGTTCCCAGATATTCACAATAAGGACCTCACTGGTCGCCAGTGCGAAAAGGGCACTCTTGCGCTCAAAGTCCTGGTCTTCACCTCGCTCACGGCCGTCCGTACCCTCCACATCCATAACTAAGATGTTGCCGGCCATAGAGGAGCTCTCGTTTTTATTTTTTGACAGCCAGATTCCCTTTGTTGTCTGCCGTCTCTCCATCTCCGACATGACAGAGAAATGCGTGCCGAAAAGGTGATTGAGAAGCGTAGATTTACCTGTCGACTGCGATCCAAAGACCGAGATAAGGTGGTAATTGAAGCCGGAGGGAGTAACATTTTCAAGGCTCAGGTACTGCGACAGATTCGGGCTAAGATCACCATTAGCTTTCGAAGCTATACTCCCTATTCATACACTATCCGTGAAGAAGCGCATCATGGCGCAATGTGCATGTGTACGAGAAGATATGATGGAGACATAGAAAAATTGCACCGAAGACAGGAAAAGACGTACTTGAATTCCTTGTTCTCATCTATTACTTGTACCCCGTGCTCATACGCTGTAGTATCGCTGGCGGAATTGCCAATGGAGGCGAAATGGCCGTTCGTTGCCATGGTCAAACGCACCGTCTGGTGTAGGCAAATTCCACCGACTGTGGTTGCGAGAATCGGGTTGCTCTAAGATAATAAATGCCGTGTTTGTTTTGCGGATGATGTCGCACTTGGGGGGAAGTGGGAAGAAGAACGTCAGGGTGTGGAGAGGGTGGCGAGTGTTGGGACTAATACGGTATGAGGTGGGTGGAAAGCGTCAACTAAGTACATGTAGTATGAGATCAAGGTAGATCGCCCAGAAGTAAGGAGAATCACAAGACTTAAGACGGTCCTGTGAGACTAGTACGCCCGAGGGTCGGCTGGAGTCTTGTGGATAGGGAGGTTGTCGGTTGGTTGTCCGGAGTACCCTTGACGCCTGAGCGGCCAGGCCACACCACCGAATCCACCGCGTGCCTAGGCGCTGCTGCTTCTGGTTTAGTGACGATCGATCCATCTATCATGTGGAACACACGACGGTGAGCCCCCTCTACATACCCAAAACAACGGCCCACTCCTATTTACGGAGTACATCGATTAAGGAGAGCCGGACTACAGAGTAAAATAAAATATCGTAAAATCAAACACAGAGGGTGGACAATCTTTCCATTCATAACTGAGAAGAAAAAAGTACGATGCACGTTCCAGCCACCTCAGCATACATAGCCTTGCTATATCTTAAGATTTAACACAATTCCGACCTCACTCTAAATCATGACCGCTATTGAAGTCGGGCCACATATTCCACTTTAGGTTGCCCAACAACCCCTGGAACGTATGGATAGCTTTCGAACTCAGGAGTTGCAACAGGTGGCATAGGCTACGTTGGCCACATGATACGTCAGGGTAGTGGGTTGCTAATATTCTTCCAATTAGATTATTATCAACCATAGGTACTGCAAGTCTCGCACAATTCCCTATGGGCTAGGTAATAGGACGGTGTACAGCTGTCCTCAGGTCTCAAAGCAAAAGTGAGTAGGCAATCAGATTCACTTGTAAACCGTCGGTCCAAGGCCTAGGCAAGCTACTCTGGAGTAGGGCACAGGTGGCCGCAGGATTGGGGCTGGAGAGATAATTATAGACTTCGAATTGATAGGCACCGGTCTGGCCACAGTTATACATAAGTTGATCTACCCTTCACTCTTTCAAAGTAGGTACGTGGATTGAGTTTTGTACATTATATTAATCATCGGATTCATATTCAACGACATACCTAGATATAGAGAGGAGAATTGTAGAAAATAAGAGAAAAATAAAAAAGTCTACATGGGTAAATACAATACAGGTACATGGCATGACTCACGAACTCCGGTATCAACGTTTCCCGGATCCCTTCGCTGATTCCCGCGCTGCAAGAAAAACAAATCCGGACATAAAATTTTTCATAGTACAAAGGCCGCTGATTCATCAGTGACCGTAACGAGTTGGCATTTATTTTCCGTCCACGACACGGGTAACGAGACCAGTGGCAACAGTACGGCCACCCTCACGGATGTTGAAGCGCTGGCCAGCCTCAGCAGCAATGGGGCGGTGAGTCTTGAGGACCATCTCAACGTTGTCACCGGGCATCACCCTCCGGGATTCATCACCGTCGGGGAAGCTGAGATCAGCAGCCTCGTCTAGAATACACAGTTAGAACCTACTCAAGACCGAAAAGTGAGAAAAAGGCTTGACTTACCAGCAGTGCGAACGAACACCTGGGGGCGGTAGTTGGCGCCGAAGCCAGTACGACGGCCACCCTCAGCCTCAGTCAGAACATACATGGACACCAAGAAGTGGTCATGGGCCTTGGTGCTGCCAGGAGCAGCAATGATCATACCGCGCCTGACGTCCTCGCGACGGATACCACGGAGAAGCAGACCAGAGTTGTCACCAGCGCGAGACTCGTCACAAGACTTCTTGAAGGTCTCAATGTCAGTGACCTTGGTCTTGGTGGCATCGAAGCTACCTCCGATGATCTCGACCTCGCTATCCTTCTTCAGGATACCACGCTCGACACGGCCGGAAGCAACGGTACCACGACCGGCAATGGAGAAGACTTCCTCAACAGACATGAGGAAAGGCTTGTCAAGATCACGCTGAGGGGTAGGGATCCAGGTGTCGACAGCCTTCATGAGCTCGTCAATACGCTCGGCACCAATGTCGGGGCGACGGTCCTCCAGAGCACACAGAGCAGAGCCGAAGATGATGGGAGTCTCTTCACCCTCAAAGCCGTAGCTGCTGAGGAGCTCGCGCATTTCCAACTCGACAAGCTCCAACATCTCAGGGTCCTCAACAGCATCAATCTTGTTGACGAAAACGACGATCTTCTGGACACCGACCTGACGGGCGAGCAGCAAGTGCTCACGGGTCTGGGGCCTGTTATAATACGTGTAAGCGCGAAATCCGGAAAACATTCTGTGGCAAGGGCTTAACCATACATCTGACCATCCGAAGCAGCGACGACAACAATAGCACCGTCCATGTTAGCAGCACCAGTGATCATGTTCTTAATGTAATCGGCGTGACCGGGGCAGTCGACGTGAGCGTAGTGCCTCTCGTCGGTGGAGAACTCAATGTGGGCAGTCGAGATGGTGATACCACGCTTACGCTCCTCAGGGGCCTTATCAATGGCACCATACTCAAGGAATTGAGCGAGGCCCTTAGAAGCCTGGTGCTTGGTGATAGCGGCAGTCAAAGTGGTCTAAACAGCAACGTGTTAGAGCCCAGGCTACTTCGGGAAAAAAGACAATAAATCCAGTCTCGCGTTTACCTTGCCGTGATCGACGTGACCAATGGTACCTGTAGGCTGTCATTAGCAATAGCCCTTCTGGTAGCAGAGAATCTTATAATAGATCAATACATACCAATGTTGACGTGAGGCTTAGAGCGCTCGAAGGCAGTTGCCATACCACGGGCAGCCAGTCTGTCTTTACCCAAAACATGCTGAACAGGGTTGACAGCGCGAGGGCGAAGCAGGGAGGCCCTGCTGGCGCGGAAGAGGAGGTTGGCGGTTCTGGAGATGCTAGACATGTTGACTGCCCTGCAGTGTAATGACAAACGAAAGATGAACCAAAGGAAACGCGATGGAATGGAAGAAACGGAGCTGGTCTGAGGGTCGAGAAGATCTCCAGTCCCCCGAAAAATTTAGGGAGACGCTTAGTCATCCATTGACCAATAACGGGCGCCGGATTGCGGAGGCTTTCCCCACCCAACTACGGAGTATTATGGAATGACAACCTGTGTGAGAAGCTATCGGTACCTACCAGGTACCTGTCCGGAGTGAGTGTTACTACCATATGTATGTGAATATTTAGCAGAACAACTATACCTGCGTTACTTAATGTTTCTGGATATACCATACTGCCGTGGACCTGTTCAAGAACTGTGACTAGTAACGGATACCGGTTATAGTTTATCTGCACACGGAATTGTCAATGTAATACAACATCGTGACGCCGGGTACTGCTCCGGAGGGAACATCCAGTATATCTACAGAGTACTCTGCCACCTTGTGTCCATAATATACACCAAATAAAGGTCACATAAAGACATCATTGACCCGAATCCTTTCTCTTCACAACAAGTACCACATGTTTTCCGGGTTCTCCTTCCATCGGTTTCACTTGCATAGCATTGGCATCCTTAGTAGCCTGCAACACACTATCCATCACATGCTTAACTTCCTCCACAGTGGGTGACCTCTTGCCTCTCTTCTTGGTCAATATAACCTCTACTTTCCGGCCCTTGTCCAGGAAGGTTGTCAATTGCTTCAGGCGGTGGGAGAGATCATGGGCGTCGATAGCCCAGTTCAGCTCGATCTGTTTAAGCGAATTCTTGTTGACGTGAGCAGCCTTTGCTTTCGCACGTTCTTGTTCCCGCATCTCAAGTCGATTCACGACCTTGCAAACAGGTGCCCGGCCGCGGAAGCCAGGGGAGACTTGTAATATGAAGTTGTCCGGGCGCTCTATTGTCAGCAAGGCATCATGAAGCCTTACTGGCGGGTCCAGTTTACCATCCTCGTTCACGAGTTGAATATATTCTGACCGGATTTCTTCATCTTTCACCTGTCTTGCCCTTGCCTGGAGCTGAGCATCTTGCTGTTGAGGCTGGCGGCGGATGGAAAGAAGGCGGGAGTGCACGAAGGTCGGAAGGAAAGCGGGACGCAGAAATTGGGGTCTAGGAGTTTCTATAGGTGCGAGAAAGATACGGCGCAAGGCTTGCGTTGTAGAGATGAAACCACGTATATGCTTCATCTCGAATTGTAGTCAGGGTTGGAGGACTGGAGGGAAAGTTCACAGTCGATAGTTCAGGAGCTGTGAGTATTCAAAAATGGTAAATAAAAATATGAAATCACTTTCTAAGCAACAGATCACAGCGCCAGATAGGCCTAATCGGTCGTGAAAATATCGAGAGGGGAGCTCCCAAAAGAGATATAGTTTGGAATGTATGATGAACCCCAGCTATGTTACGTCCCGTCATTCAACGGACGCATTCGGCGGCGAACCAGCCACAAGTGCGCCACACACTCATGGGGGCGGGATCGAGACCCTGAGGCCCGGCCGCCTGTAATTTATCTCCTTTTGGTTGCGCCCTTTTCCTCTCCTGACATCTACCAACCCTCATTTTCGCTGGTTTTGCTTTGCCATCCACGATCCTTTTTGGGCTGGTCCGGAGGCTCCTGGAGGATCTATGGTTTCTCTTCATTTCGACCGTTAATCTATCTTTCTTTTCCAACTCGGTCGAAACTATAACAGCGTTTCCCCGGAACGAAACGCCACTCGCTCGTCCTCTGTCTTATCTTTTGCATGTCGACTGGAGTTGACGGTCGACATATCAACCGCACACCATCTTTCCAGAGGCCAGGCTCTGAAGTCAGTAGACGTTCCAATTCGCGGGCGTCTCAACCCACGAACACGTCAAGCAAATCACCGGACACTTGTCAAAGTCCGTCAACCGTCATAATGGCACAAAGCCAGAGGTCCCGGTACCTGAAAACCGGAGCCATCGTGGGCGCCTTGTTTTTGATGATCCTTTGGCTCTCACCATCGAAGCCAGCAGTGACAGGCTTTGGCCGCGGTATGTTGCGTATAATTGTTCATCGACTAATTATGTTCACTAATAGGCCGTACAGAGAAATCCCCCGCTGGCGCCGCTCCTCTAACGGACAAATGTACTAAGCCACATGATCCCTCGAAACCATTGATTCAGTACGCTCTTATGATCGATGCTGGCAGTCAGGGCTCTCGAATCCATGTCTATCGGTTCAACAACTGCGGCCCTACTCCCGAGCTTGAACACGAGGAATTTGAGCAGACCGAGAAGAAGAAGGGCGGTTCCGGACTGAGCTCATACAAGGAGGATGCCGAAGGAGCAGCCAAGAGTCTTGACCCTCTCATGCAGGTTGCAATGAGGACCGTTCCCGAAGAGTACAAATATTGCTCTCCAGTCGCCGTCAAGGCTACTGCCGGTTTGCGAATGCTTGGACCAGAGATGAGCCAGAACATCCTGGAAGCAGTAAGGAATCGCCTGGAGACTGTCTATCCCTTTCCCGTTGTTTCTCGTGAGAAGGGGGGCGTTGAGATTATGGATGGATCCGACGAGGGTGTTTACGCATGGATTACAACAAACTATCTTCTCGGAAAGATCGGCGGCCCAGATGAAACGCCGACCGCTGCAATCTTTGACCTAGGTGGTGGTTCTACTCAGATTGTCTTCCAGCCCACATTCGAAAAGAGCAAGTCAGGTGGTATGCCGGAACGCTTAGCTGACGGCGATCACAAGTATGAGCTCCAGTTCGGTGGACGGGGCTTTGATCTGTACCAACACTCTCACCTTGGATACGGTCTCATGGCTGCACGTGAAGCCATTCACAAAGCTGTCGTCGAGGGTAAAATGGCCTCCAGTGGAAACGATATGGCTTGGTTGAAGCAGCCCATTGCTAATCCCTGTATTGCACCTGGTATGGAGCGCGATGTGGATGTGAAATTCGACAATGAGCACCCACTCGGACCAAAGGTGACTGTCAAGATGGTTGGCCCACAGGACGGATCTTCTTCGCCTGCCCTTTGCCGCGGCTTCGCGGAGAAGATCCTAAAGAAGGAAGCTGAATGCAAACTCGCCCCTTGCTCCTTTAATGGTGTTCATCAGCCCTCCCTTGAGAAGACATTTTCCAGGGAAGATGTTTATATCTTCTCCTACTTCTTTGACCGCACCAAGCCCCTGGGCATGCCTGACTCTTTCACTTTGGAGGAGTTGCACCAGCTCACGTCCACTGTCTGCGCCGGCGAATCGTCGTGGAAGATTTTCGAAGGCATGGGAGAAGCCATGGCCGAGTTGCGCGACCGTCCTGAGTGGTGTTTGGATTTGAACTTCATGCTTGCTCTGCTGCACTCTGGCTACGAGATGCCGTTGTCCCGCGAAGTTAAGATCGCCAAGAAGATTAAAAATAACGAACTTGGCTGGTGTCTAGGCGCAAGGTAAATAGCCCGTTGAATATTTCATCATTTTATTATGTTTGAGTTTGTGCTAATGTTTTATCACAGCTTGCCTCTTCTGAGCCAGGAATCTGGATGGACTTGCCGCGTGAAGGAAGTCTCTTAAATACGATGGATATGGTGGTATGGTGATGCATTGATTTTTATCACACCAGATGGCATGTGTACATCTGTTTTCTTCTCATGCAAATATGGCTAGATTTTTGTCATGTCGATGATATTGTTACTGTCGCTATTAGATTTTGCTCAATCCCTGTATGGCATAGGAAAAGAACATGGAAACGCAATTGATGTCCTGAATACTGCTAGAATTCATATGCTAACACAGCCTTTCGGGGCAGCTATACAATTACTCTAGTCTATTCTTCTAGCGACAACATAACAAAAACTTTTAGATCCCACATAAAGGATTAACAAAGGCCAAGAAGAGAATATATCGTACAGTAAGTTGACCACGCACAAAAAGCTCATCCAATATGTAAATATAAACATATCACATCCGTAAGCGCCATCCATGCAACCCAGTCCCACATTTAATGGTTTTTATTCGTTCATTTCCTCGATGGTTGGCTTTTTCGACGATGTAGTATCTTTGTTCCCCATCAACGTCTCCAATAGGTTCGACTCGGGTGATGCATTAGAGTGTGATTCTGCGTGGCTGTATGCAGGGCCTTCGCTCTTTGCACTAGGGGCGACGCCGTCGGCGGGGCGTTTCTCTTCCAGGACGCCTAGGCCCAGGTTCTGTAGAAGAATCGTTGATTAGCACAAGTAGATAAGAACAGATGCGAAAAATTTGCTTACCATCTCAATATATTGATCGTCAGTTTGATCATCCACCTCATCCAACCTCAGGTCCTTTCCCCTCCCAGCCTCTATCTCTTCCTGTAGCTTATCATTGGCACTTTTCATTTGTGGGAGAAACGCAGACAATCGGGAGAAAAGATCTGGGTTTCTCTCGATACGATGTATTTGAGGTTTTTGTGGAGCAGGTATGCGCGGTAGAGTGTGATCGGAGCCATTGTCACTTTTTACATCATGATCTTGGTCGTCTTCCTCGTGGTTAACCTCGTCGTCCTCATCACTATCACTCCCGGAGGATGAGGTGTAATCGTCATCGTCACTGTCGCTATCATTTTTGGCGGGAGAAGGGTGTGCCTTCTTGACGTTGTCGCGCAGGGCTAGCGAGAATACGCGCCGGTCGTCACTCACGTCGCCAACGTTATCATTCTGATTGGCATGGCTCCCGGACCGTTTAGAGGGAGAAACGGCATCGCATGCAGGTTGCGGTTGGGGATCGTCGGACTGCGGGCGCTTCCGATCACTATCAGCATGATTGTGCCCTGCCAATGAAGAGTTACTTTTCCCCTCCTTTGCACCTCACGGCGTTTCGCGCAGGATGTGGGGGGCGGCTCGAAGGAGTCGAGTAGATTTCCCAGGGGGAGGGTGGGCAATAATTGGTGCGAAGAGTGGATTTAGGGGGTTGTTTGACGACGGAGGGTTAGTTGATTAAGGATAATCTGGTAAGTCGTAAGAACCAAACATCGTCCATCATGCCGGATTGTCACTCACATGGAAGAAGCATGACAGGGGATATTTTTGGACGGACGGGGCCAATGGGGGCCAGAATGTGATCTCGATTTTCGTATTGCATGAAAGATCTTATTCTCTTTCGCTCCTATCGATACTTTGATTCTGTTTCACACCCCGCTCGAATGGGTTTTGCCTTCGTTGCCCGGTCCGTGCCTGGTGATTTATATTGTTTCCCATTAGGCTTGGCTCCTGTAGATGTCTCTGGCAAGCTGTCTCCTGATCCCTGACGTATCAGTTCTTTTTGCAAAAATCTATACCATAAGGTAAGCATATACACCTACAATTTTCAATCTTGTGACTTTACGCTGCCTGGATCACTCTCAATGATCCTGAACGCTTCCAAGTGTGAACTATATCCCGCACCTGTTCATGTCCAGCCCTACACAGCTTACCTACTATATTCATTCATATATATATATATCACCTGTGTACTGTAGCTTACATGAGGAATAGGCGATTGAGGGTTTTATTTAACTCGAATCACTGAGAAGGAAGTATACTCTCCCTATACTGCAGGAACTGTACGCCACAAGAGGCAGCCTTTGACTACCTGGTACTCCAGGTTTCTGGCATGAGTTCTCGCACCTGCCTCCTATCCTCATATTAAGGAGGTGTAACTCCCCTAAAGTCACACAATTCTGCCTTTACCCACAGTTCAGTATGGCCCTCCCAAGAGTCCATGTCAATGAGAAAAGCCCCCTGTCCGAGAACAACAGCCCAAAAGACAGCGGCATCGACAAGCGACAATCGGCACAAATCATTGCCCCAACACGAAAGTCACTACATCAGAACATCTTTGGGAAGCTCCGTCCGCTGCCTTTCCAATATCACTGGACAGTCTGGTATGACAAGCACTCCGACTCCACCGACTACGATAACAGGCTGTACGTCCTTCATGAAGACGTCGCCGATATTGCGACCTTCTACCGGGTTTACAACAATTACCCATGGGAGAAGATCCGGCTCAGAGACACGGTGCATATCTTTCGCAAGGGAGTGCGTCCTGTGTGGGAAGACCAGGAGAACCTGAAGGGAGGATGTTGGAGATTCCGCGTGCCGAAGAGCAAAGCCCAGGAGTTCTTCCATGAGATTGCTATTCTTTGCATGGCAAATGAATTTCAGGCCGTCCTTGAGCAGGGTTCGTTACCCCCCTACTTTTCCGTGTCTCCCGAGACATTAATAACTAACTTGCCTATATATAGAACATGACCATGTGCTCGGAGTTTCAACCTCAGTCCGGTTTAACACTCATCTGATCTCGGTTTGGAACAAGCTTGGCTCCAATGAATGTTCCATCAAAGCATTGGAAAGAACTATCCTCGATCGATTGTCGCCGGAACTACGACCCACTGGGACGGGGTCCAATGCGTATTTCTATAAACGTCATGATGAGAACGAAGGATATCAAGAAGCTGTTGAGGGAGCAGCCTCGAAGGATTGATGGGTTCTTTTTAATATGTTGTGTTGTACTAGAATAGTTGATACTCTTGCTCACTCCGGTCTGGTTTCAGGGACATCTTTATCATGCGCTACTGGCATAGCGCTGTTTAAGATAGGTCCAAATTCTGAACCGCTAAACGTCATCTTCGAGCATATATGGTATCTTGATTTTGCCCATAACAGGTCCATTAGATGATTATCATTATTGCCTTCTGTACTTCTGTTATGATACATGTTTCGGTTTGAAATCTAAAGTAGTGTACACAATTCGTTTATATTATTAACATGCCGCAAATCTACCGACTTCGGCTCCTCCGACTAGGACTTTTCCTTCGTGGTCTCCGATCATCAGGTTCACGACTTCGATCCGCATCTTTCTCACGGTCACGGTCTCGCTCTCCACCGGGTATATATCGATCAATCTCAACAAAGCGCGGTCGGTCGTCGCGCTCCGATCGCTCGGGGGATCGGACGCGCCGACGAGGGGAACGACTTCGATTGCTAGTTGGGGGTACATAACGGTCGATATCAAGAACGCTCGGAGATCGCCGGCGTGAGCGGGACCCTCTCCGTGAGGAGGCGGACACACGGGAGCCAGATTTATCTCGCTCACGTTTACTGTCACGCTCTTTATCCCGCTCTCGACCACGGTCACGGTCATGCTCGCGCTCCCGATGCCTCTGACGGGAGCGAGAGCGCGATCGGTATCTAGCGCGCGATCGGGACCTAGAATAACGCCGTCGACGATGGTCATCGCGGTCGCCATCGCGATCGCGATCGCGCTCTCTGTCCCTGTCCCTGTCCTTGTCATGATCTCGGTCTCTATCTCTTCTCTCCCTATCCCGGTCGCGACTGCGGTCCCGGCGATATTCATGATCTCGGTCTCTGTCACGCTCTGTGCTTCTCTCCCGGTATCGAGGTCTAGAACGAGTTCGGTCTAGATTGCGGTCCCGATCCCGATCCCGATCCCGGTCCTGTCCTCGCGTGGCAGATCTACTCCTACTCCGACGATTAGGCCGATAACTTCGATCACCATACCGGTCTTCCCGAAAATCACGAATAGCAAGCCTATCATCAGAGGCGCGGTCACGCGGCCGCACAGACATGTCTCGAGAGCTCCGGCGGTTTTCGTCAAATCGAGACGTATATCGTCTCCTTGAACGACTGCGACTATCATCCCGTCTCCGAGTGCGATTGCGCTCATCTGCAGTCGAGCCACGGCGCCAACTCTGATCAGCGTCTACAGCTGGGCTGCCGGACTTGGTTGGCGTATTAGAGAATTTCGATTCCGAGGTACCTTTCGGCTTGGCCGGTGGCGGTTTAAGGCCATTTTCAATTGCTTCTGCTTCTTCGAAGTCAAATTCGGGTTTTTGTCGAGCTTTAGCCGCAAGTTCTTCGCCCTCTTTCAGGAGAAGCTGCAAAGCGGCTTCCTCCAATGACTTCTCATCCACAGGAGGTGGAGGCGGAGGCGGAGGTGCCGGCGTGGGTTCCTTTGGTGTTGCAGACGTATCCCGTCGTAAATCGCGTACACGGGGAGATAATCCACGATCAGAGCGGTGGCCTAGCGAGCGGTCACGACGATAGCGGTCGCGGTCCCTATCGCGATCTCGTTCGGAGTCTCTATCTCTAGTGCGACTGCGGTCACGCCAATCACGATATTTTTCACGTTCCTCCCGTCGTCGTCGTTCATATCGTTCCTGCCGTTCCTTTTCTCTTTGCTCATCCTGTGCTCGCTGTTCTGCGCGACGCTGTTCCTCACGCTCCCTTCTTCTTGCTCTTTCCTCCTCCTCCTTTTGCCGATCTAGCTCACGTTGCTTGCGCTTCTCTTCCGCTTTTCGTCGCGCCTCCTCTTCTTCGGCTTCTTTCTGTTTGCGCAAGGTTTCTTGCCACACCTTCTCTCGCTCCTCCCGCTTAGCTTTAACATGTGCGGCGTAGTCCTCGTCCGTTTTATTCCCAGCCTGCTCTTCGCGAGCGGCAGCTTCATCGCCGATCTCCTCGCGGCGAATCTCTCGGATGGACTCTAGGATAGCAGGAAGATGCTTCGAAGCCAGCGCATCAAGCGACGCCTCGACGGTTTTATAGATGTCGCTACGATCCACAGCTCCTTCGATCAACGTCGCAGCTTTTCCACGTTCACGGGAAAGTAATTCTGGCTCGCGAGTGATCTCGGATTCTGCTAATTCGACTAATAGATTGGTAAACTCTACCCTCCCTTCCTACATGTGAGCGCATTAGCAAGGGAACAATCCTGTGCGACTGAGGACTAGAATGTAAAATGAATTAACTACTAAACGTACTCCTTCATCAAATTCCGTCCATAGTTTCTTTCGTGTAGTGTCAAAGCCGCCCCTTTTCTTGAATGCGTGGAGGAGGTTCTCAATAGTCCTATGCTGCGTGGGAGACAACGGTAACTCTTCGGTTTTGAACTTCTTTCGTTGCAAGCTCTCAATATCCACGGACGGCCGTTTGACACCAGCAGATTCAACATCCGGCACCTCCTCTGGACCAGCCATGCCGAGAAGCCAGAAAAAAGTATAATCAAAAAATATCAGCGAACCCCACTTTAAGGGTTTTCTGACGTTCCTCCAAGGCTGGCCAAAAAGGAAGCGCAGATCTATGTCGCGCGGCCCGCATCCCAGGCTCGCGACTGTTGGCCGGGCCTTTGATCGGAGGAATGATATTCCGTGACAAGATTGGGAACTGCGGCCCCGTGATTCGATGGAGTGGGAGAACATGAGAATCAACCTCATCTCCGCCGAACAAGCTCACCAAATCGCCGGTTCGGAGCTCAGATTACGCAGTGACCGCTTAATCCTCGATTGAAGCGGACCCGGATCCAATTCCTCATTTATCGACCCTTATTCCGACGCTCTCCTTTCCCGTCCCGCGCACTCCGCACCCTCCATCATCATGGTCCACAAAGTCCTCTTCTGGGGCGGCTTCGGTATGCACTGCATATTCACCCCATGATAACCCTCATTGGGACATGTCTCCGTCCTGAATTGGGTTATCGGGCCTTCCACTAACGGTACATCCAGGCATCGCCGTCCGTCTCTGGCAGCTCGGTATCGAAATGCGTCCCATTCTCGCCAAGGAATCTCTCTGGGTGTACCCTCTCTTCGCCGGTGTCGGTAGCAGCTTCGGATACTGGCTCCAGGGCGTTGAGGACAGACAGCTCAAGATCCTTGCGCAGCGCCGCGAGGCTATCCTCGAAAAGCGTCGGAGACGTGACCAGAGCACATTGAGCAAGGTTGAGGAGGCCGGCACTCTTGCCGCGACGTCGTGAATGTAATATGTTGAGTTCTGGAGAAGGTGGTTGGAGGACAGGATTAGGAGACGATGACTGTGTTAGTCGACTTAGTTGGCCAACAGTCCAGTCGTTCTTGTATCAAAATTTGATCGGTTATGCTCGGGCTCCTGTTATCGAAAGAGGGGAACGCATGAAGCTTTAGCGCCTATGAGCAAGACCTAAATTATGTGTTTACTTTCAATTGTTTTATTCCACTGTTCGCATTGCAATAGCAGATTTTCGTTTGCTTTTTGATTGTATCTGTATGTTGATGTCGCTTCTCGGTAGCTCCCGTCATCGTTCGAGATGTGATCCGTGCAGGGTTTATACTTCCCTGTGTTCATACAAATCAGGCTTCCCATAAAGACTATGGTAAGGTGTCTAGCATCTACAGTTCATATACTGCGAAACAAATCTCGATTTCAGTGAAATTTTTTGATCATCTGGCAGCCTCTTACAAGGTGGTTGGTTTGAAAGATCTCCATTTAACCCAAAATGGGTGGTCGAAAACGGCCAAATGTATGGTGGTTAAATTTCCACAGAGTGAACAATGCATATACGTGTTACATTAATGTACAGTTGAGTATAACATTTCAACAAAAAAGCTCTGTCATCATGGCCTTATCGTGCAATCATGACTTCTCTATCGTAAATTGCAAGGACACTTCCCACCTCTGACCTCCAGACCCATATCCACCACCTAATCGGTTTCTGACTAGGCTGGAGATACGCTCCCGAAGTCGAATGAGATTTTCTTCTGAGCCTGAAACACGCAGCTTTAAATCTGCCATGCATAATCCGTAGTGGACCTGCCAAAACCTGGCGTCGTCGACGCCGAACACGCACGGGTCGGCTTCAATATCTCGGATGACGTCCTTTACTCCCGGGCCAGAATATGACATGAGAAGCATAGAACCAAGTGTCTTGACCAAGCGCACACCGATGACGCACATGGAAATAGAAATCGTACTGGACAAGAGAACGTCAAGCCAGTTGTAGAGACGCACAGATACTAGGGGAAGTAGCAGGAGAAGTGTGGAACAAGAAAGCGTAAGAAAGTGAGATGGGTTGCTGAGCACTGAAGGCAGAGATTCAATATATCCGAATCGCATCGCCTTTCCTATTCGCCCATGGTTCTTTAGCCCAATTGCAGAGATCAGCGTGGATGAGATGGCCAACAGAGCAGTGACATCTACACTGCCTACAGACACTCGTTCATGAGCATGAGAGTGGTGGGGTTCGTGGCCAGATGACTCGAGAAAGTGCTGCAAGTTATGGGAGATAAGATCCATTCCCATAAAAAGCAGAAGCACGCACATTGCGAAACCGGCGAGCACTTCTGCCCGTTCCAGCCCAAATGGATGCCGAACGCTGGATCGCTTCCACACCTCGAAATTGCTTAATACATCCACCGAAACACAAAGCAACGCTCCAAGAGAGTCAAATAGTATGAGGTGGGACAGAGCCGTCATCGCCAGGGACCCGTGCGCACTCCAAAGAGTATATGCGGCGACAAACATATGACATACACTCCACCAAAAACGCGTCTTCTGATCTTTCGACATACTCGCGCAGCACTCCTTGAAAGTTGGGATCGGCAATGAATTGGGTAAAGCCAATGGTGCCCTGGGTGGTGGCTCGAGGAATATCTGGTGTGATATGCTACTATGCTTATACTTGTGTCCACGTCGCTGGCCAATGTTCTATACACAATTGAGCAATAATCAGCATCATTTCATATGTAATTCCATACAAAGAGGGAATATTGACTTACGGACTTTACCACCGGGCTCTTTGCCATGGTGGTGGTCTTGAAATTGAATGGTCCAGCTGAGCCATTGTCACCCTTACTGTTCTGCGGTACATTATCGGAAGGGCTGAGAGCAAAGGACGCTCGCGTAGGACTCAGGCGATTCGGATCTTCAGACTTCAAAGAGCCCCTTTGTAGGGGGAAACTGTCTACCAATGGTGACAAGGAATCTTTGTCCTGCGCATCAAGGCGGGAGGAGTTATCGGGTGCGCTTGGAGGATCATCGGGGGGTGGAGTAGGGGTGCGCGGAGGAAGAGGAATGGGAAGGTTTGATGCCATTTGCACCAGAAACACCAAAGGCGCCTGCGCCAAACCAAGGATATGTTCAAGTGAGGAATGTTACAGTGTTTTGTGGATCAGGGATGGAGAAAGGATAATAGAGCAAGAGATAGGGAAGGGTCCGGGTTGATCGATCTTCCCGAGTTATCGATAAATCAGGAGGCGGAAAGGCGGGGAGGTTGGTGCCGGGGAAGCCTGAGGCCTCGACTCAACTCATCGCATCATCGATCGACTCCCAGTTTGTCCGTGTCGTCATTCATGATAGCCTTGTTTACAACCTCAACCCTGGTCGACTCTCTTTCCACAACATCATATTTAATCTCCATTGCTGCGCCACGTCCTGGACTGGCAATGCAGCACAACGTACGCCATTCCATTTGAGGAGACTCCAACTCCGATGCCCGCATTTTCTCGGCATCTATGGATCACCGCGGTTCCTTCTTTTTCTTCCTGGTCGTTTTCTACCTGCTCCTCAGCTCCCAATCTCACCCCCCTTTGATTTCTCAGGACCGAGAACGTCAGCGGGAAATCGCGAGGGAAAAAGATGCGCTTCGTCTGCTGAATGAGTCCAAGTATGGAGACTTTAACCCACCGGCTGATCGATGGCTGCCTTTTCCGGGAGTGAGGAAGAACGACAGTTACGCTTGGGAGATTCTTTCGGAAGTTCAGGATAGGGCGCGCTATCAGCTACGGTCGGTTATCTCAAATGCTGGGTTGGATGTTCCCAAAGGTCTCGATGACCCGGCCGAATCGCAGGCGCTCAATCTGACGGAGTTCCTTCTCCCCGTCTACCGTAATACGACTGGTAAACTGCGCGGAGATTGGGTGCGGCGCAAGCTTGAGAAAGCTCATCACCCATTGAATAAAACTGCCATCGTACTGGAGAATGAATATTTCACGCACGAGTTTAGCCACAATGTCACTGGCAATACGGGATCCTTCTATCTAGACTTGCGCGAGGGAGGTGGCGAAGAGCTTCGGCTGCGCAATGGCCACATTCGTGAGATTCGAGCGACTTTAGCCGTGGAAAATGGTGACTTTTGGGGAAATACATGGTACCTGCCTTTATTCGGTATCCATTTCCCAGAAACAGGGGCCATTATCCTGACTACAACGAGTGAGAAGTTCGGTGGGATTTTTACCTTGCCACATTTGGCACTTACATCAGATGCATACGACCTTTCGCACCAGCTACTCATGAAGTCTCTCTCGGATACAATATCTGAGAAACAAAACCGGGCTCCTACGCTTTTCCCCTGGTCTTCGCTTGTTGGGGCGGAGCAGGTGGAGTTCCCTGCGCCGAAGTGCGAGCACATAGTCTACCTACAACAGCATCCGGTTGCCGTCCATGACTACCTTGCGGAGAGGCAAGTCATCGAACAGATTGAGCAGGAGCTCAGATTCCCTATGGGCGCACCGATCCCCTCTCCTCCACCTATGGTCATGTCAGCCGTTGTCTTTTCTCCCGACTGCGGGTACGTCCTTGAGACTAAGGGCGCGCCTGATTACTCGCCCACTGAAGCACTGTACCTATCCGGGCCAAAGCTGGAGCAGTTTGGAAAATCCTCAGCTCGAATAATATTCGTAATATGCGGTATCTCTGTTGCACAAATTGCCCTACTTTTGCGGCAGGTCAAGGAGGCTTCAACACCTTCCACCAGGAGTCGTATCAATTTCTATACGATTGCATTAATGGCCTTTGGAGACTCATTCTTACTCGTGTTCATGTTACTGGAGCTATATCCAGCGGTCTCCTTCTTACTCTTGACGACCGCATCATTCCTTACTTTCCTTTCGGTCAGCTACATTGGAATGAAATTCATGATGGAAATATGGGCGGTCCAGGCACCGGAACGACGGGAACAGGACCGCCGATCCAACCCTTCAGCAACAACAGCACGCCCAGCCAGTCTACCATTACCCGCCACCACACGACTTAGAGACTCCGGTGCAACGCCTATCATCCTAACCCCAGACCAGGATCCTCCAGAGGAGGAGGATGAGCCGCCTCCGAATCGTAGCACCACACCGACAGCCCGAGAGACCCGCAGTGATGTAGGAGCCATGTATGCACGGTTTTATTTTATCTTATTCGTCATGCTCATCATTTCCATTTGGTCTTTCCTATGGCCCAATCGACTAGGAGCGCTGTATGCCCGAGCTCTCGGGTTCGTATACCTGTCGTTCTGGACCCCTCAAATTTACCGGAATGTTGTGCGCAATTGCCGCAAAGCTCTGCGCTGGGATTTTGTGGTTGGTCAAAGTTTCCTGCGCCTGTTCCCTTTCATGTATTTCTTGACTATGCCTGGTAACGTGTTATTCGTTCGACCCGACCCAACAACAGCTATGGCACTGGCCGGATGGGTGTGGATACAGGTCTGGATCTTGGCAAGCCAGGACATTCTAGGGCCGCGCTTCTTCGTACCTCGAGGTTGGGCACCGGCAGCCTATGATTATCACCCTATTGTACGAGATGCTGCCGAGTCGGATGCTGACCTGGAGTCAGGTGGAGTTCTACCAATTGGAGCGTTGAGAGCAGATGAAAGGGATTATGATATCAAAGAGGATGACAAACAACGCCCGAAGGATAAGAAAAAGGCGATATTCGACTGTGCAATATGCATGCAGGAAATTGAGGTGCCCGTCCTTGCAGCGCTCGGTGCTCCTGGAGGCAGCAGCATGACAGATGGAGCTACAAGTATCCTCAGCCGTCGGACGTATATGGTCACTCCTTGTCGACATATCTTTCACAGCACATGCTTGGAAAGCTGGATGCGACTCCGACTTCAGTGTCCTATTTGCCGAGAGTCTATCCCTCCTGTATAACGTATATGATGGTGGACATACCCAACGAACAGTGTACACAAAGCAAATCTGTATTAATGATATTATATAGTCCAGTAGTCACCCGAACTTAGGGCGGGTATACTACACAGAAGAATAGCCGTGTGCAGCGCTGGAGTCTACACTCCCCGCTTCGAGCAAAGCTACTCTCCCACTAAGTGCTTCCTTAGTGCTTCCTTAGTGCTAGAACGCGTAATAGCATTATGTACCTTAGCAGGCTTTCGCAGCCGTAGACATTAGATCCAGGTTAATTTGTACCGAATCATCGGTAGGCTTCCAGGAAGGACTTGGGCAACATGTATATTATTTCCAACGGGCCAGTCTTGTTGAATAACTGGCCCAGCCGTCGACGGCTTACACACGAATCTAACATTTCATCAAAAGAGGCAATAATACGGTTCCCCGTTGGCAAAACAGAACAATCCGACATAAAAAAAAAATAAAAGCCATGATCACCGAGCGCTTCATTTTGACATACCATCACGTCTATGCATTCTCTTTGTCCGACATGTCCCCTTACTCCTGACCATGGGTCTCCTTGTAGGCCTCGGCATCAAGCAAGCTGTCAAGCTCTGCGGGGTCGTTGACCGAGATCTCAGCAATCCAAGCCTCGCCCTCGGGGCTCTCGTTGATGAACTTGGCCTTGTCATCCAGGACACTGTTAACCTGGGTCACCGTACCGGCGACAGGAGAGTTGACATCGGAAGCCGACTTGACAGACTCCACAGCTCCAACGGGCTCACCGGCGTTGACCTCCAAGCCAATCTCAGGAAGCTCAACGAACACAACATCGCCCAAGGAATGGGCGGCATACTCTGTGATTCCAACCTTGGCTATTCATCATTATTAGTACCACATGCGCATTGAGGCTGCGGTGCGCTAGGTGTCGCCGGGTATGAACTTACCAGTCTTGCCGTCATCGGCCAACTCGATCCATTCGTGCGACTCGGTGTACTTCTTCAGTGCCACTACAACATTTCATAAAATATTAGTATCTATAATTGATGTGCAATACCTCAATGCCCTTCTGAACAGAATTTGGAAGGGCTCTTACTGAATGGGCTTTGGGAGAAGCTCCTAACACTTCCCCGCGGGAAACCAGTTACGGGCGAAATCCTGCATGCGGCGGCCAGAGGGAGCTTCTGGGAAAGCACGCGGGAGGCGAAGGGGCGGACGGATCTTGCGACGGCAGACATTTTGAGAAGTTTTGAGGGAAGGGAATACGAATTGAGTCGAGGAAAGGTGTGGGAAGGCAAGACAGTAGTGATAAAGAAGAGGGAAAGTTGGAGTCCGCGGAGAGATTGCGCAGGTTAAAGTAGTAGCTTACATAGTTCCCGGACTGATAGGCGCGCCAAGACTGCTGATAAGCGCCTCTACAATCCGTTGGCCGTAAGTCGGGAAAATCTCATCGTCCCCATCCCGTTATTCTTCTCCGACGCTATCTACCCCCACACCGATTGCGGCCATGTTGTACGAGCTGATTGCCATTGTATGGTGTCCTACGGATTTCCTCAGACGATTGCCCATGTTGTTCAAGCTAACTGAACCCTTTGACAGGTCCGTCCGGGCAGCCTCCACGAGGTCCGAGAGTATGTCCTTCAGCGATTTCCTGTCCATTCGAGATGCCTCCCTTATCATCCCTGATCTGATGAATTCACCATTGAGGAATATATCTAAACGACGACAATAACTAACTCTTTTCAGGATTGCCCGTAATGCCGGCATTCAGGTCCTGCGCTCCGGCGGCGTAGTCCGCGGATACACCAACTGGGGCACCTTCCGACTCCCCAAGCCCACCACAAAGCACCAGGCCAGATACACGGAAGGCCACCACTTCATCATGCGCTTTGATGCATCTGGCCCCGTACAGATGGCTGTCCGCAGAACCCTCGGTCTCGACCCCCGGATGGTTCGCTTCTCGGTGGTCAAGCTAGGCGACAAGCTTGAAGACATCAAGGATGTCCAGGGCAAGGTTGAATGGAACAACGCACGCAACATTTCCGAGTCTATCTAGAATATGTCGCTTCATTGACTACGGATTGAATGGATGAAATGAGGAAGAGCCGTTGTACAGCTCGTCTTAAGTTGTTGGTTTGCATTCGGACATTGACAGACATTGCCGGTTCACTGTATTATTGGGATTGAGGGTTGTATTTTTGTACTATCATACCAGCATCGCAGGCGCACATATATATCACATAATTGGGTTTCACTTTGAGGTGCCATTCTATACCTGTCCAGATTCTCCACGGGCTGCTCAACATGACACGTGACTTAGATCCTGGGTCTTAAACTACAGCGCTATCATACGAGTAGTCCAGTTTGAGATGGCTTCACTCTCGCGTATTAGACTTTAAGCTAGTTCATTACCACGATGTGATCTTCGCATCGGGACATTTGGTTGGCAACATGTGCTTTGCGGAAGTAGTTCCCGCTTCCTTTTTTGTCAAATCACTCTGTGGTGTACTCTGTAAATATTCCAAGTGATACTTGGAACGCGCTGCTTATCCTCCGGGCACCTACTCTATAGGTTTTGGTTCCCCACAAAGTTGGCAAAGGCCATCTATATGTTGAGATTCACGATGAAGGTGGTTGATATCTCCACCCGATCAGCCGAGGTTCCCCATAGTCACATCGGGTAAGGCGGTCATGCGTCGTGCCAATCCGAGGACTTACATATAGTAGTAGTAACACATCAACTGCGAGCCGGATTAGATTATCTCCTATTCCACTCTCCTGCTTATAGATATCCGGAGGGTCGGTTCCTCGAGGTCATCGCTCTAATTCCACATACCCCAATTTCTACCAGGTTGTCACAATGCTACCCGATAGAAGCGACGGCGATCCCCAGCTGGTGGCCTCCCCGCCAGCATTCGCCGAGCTGATGGCTCTAAAGCAACTCGATAGCCCCAGCCACCTACACGGCATCCCATCTGATGAGCCTGAAAAGATTGAGCGCTTCCAATCGCTCGCATCCCCGTATCCACCGGGCGAAGGAAACATGGCCTTCGGTGGACACGTCTATGCGCAGTCCGCATACGCAGCTTCAAAGACAGTAGAGAAGGGCTTCGTAATCCATGTAGGCCCCCTAGCTACTCATGCATATTCTCGAAGCAAATCGGGCTGACATCAATCAGGATATGACTGGCACGTTCATCTTGGCGGGCCGGTTAGATGTTCCGTATGTATACACAGTGCGTCATGTGAGAGATGGCAAGATGTACTGTACCCGTGCAGTGGACGCACGGCAAGAAGGCAAGGTGTGTTTCTCGTGCTTGTGCTCGTTCAAACGGGATGAAGGGCCGGAGACATTTGCGCATCAGCCTCCTTCCGCGCATGAGCGCTTCAAGTCCATCCTCCAAGCGAAACGCGTGGAAGACCAGATTGTCAGTCCTAGTGTGGATGCCGACTGGTGGATTGAAGTGGTGGAACAAGGAAGTGTCACGGAGCGGGAGTTCCCCGGGTTAGATATGCGCAAAACCGATATGCAGGGGTACAACCTTACCGAGGATGTAAAGCAGAACCCTGAGAAGTATCGCCAGCTTCATCAGTATTCGCTTAAAGGATCGCCTCACGATTCCGCGGTCTCGGTCAGCAGGGAAGAACTGAAAGTTAAAGAGCAGTCAGGGGAATATGATAACCTCTACGCATGTGCACATATGTATGCAAGCGACAGAAACTCTTTGCTGTTGATACCGCGCGCTCTGGGACACAAGAACTGGACTGCAATGGCTAGCTTGACTCTCACGGTGATCTTTCATCAGCGTGGTGATGCTCTAAGGATGGTTGATTGGAATGCAGTGTCGAGCCACGATGGTACGGATCTGCCGAAGAAGTGGTTCGTGCAAGAGGGGTGGACACCTCGTTCTAGCGAGAACCGGGCAATTCATGAGAGCTGGCTCTGGAGTCCGGATGGGAAACTGGTAGCTACTAGTTATCAAGACAGTCTGTTGAGACTTAGAAAGTACGACCGAAAAGGGAAGCTATAATGTGACCTGTATATAATATAGAGTATCCAACTGCAGAGATTTAATACATTGTATATATATCCATATGCAGCACAATATTCCCATACAAGTACCCGTGATATTATTTGCACAGATATTTGCGTTCTAATGGTTCTCTGTGGCCTTTGTTGTACCATAGGCATAAATCAAAAGACTAGTGCATATTCGAAAGACGCAGCCCAAGTAGTAGCGGTTCCAATCACTCATCATCTTGACTACCATACAACTGACCATACCCAGTTAATTCAAAACGCTCAAGCAGACTCTAAGTACTCTTCCTAAAGCTTCGATCTTCCCTCGAACCCGCCAACAAAGTCAGCTTTCGTCATCTCCGGAGCCCGTGCAAGCAAAGGCCCAATAGCCTTAGAGAACTTTTTGAACTCAGGGGACGTCCCATGGGCCTTCAGATTGTCCAGGTCGGTATACCTGAAACAAGCTAGTTAGCGAGCTTGTTCATTCAGGACCCGATCTACAAAGAAATCACTTCTCAATAAACACCAACTCCTCGGTCTTGTCAGGACGAAGAGCACAGTAGATCTGTGTCTTTGGCTCGTTTGTCTGGACATGCTCCGAGAATGATTTGAAAGCTTCCAAAAGCTTGGTTATATGTTAGTATGGCGTTATCAGAGGGCAAAGAAGCTGTTCGTACCTCGTTGAATTTGCCCGGTTTGGGCACAAGCTTCACGATGTTATAGAATTCGCCGGCGGTCATGGTTGCGATTGTGGATGTGTTTGGTTCTACTTGTATTGTTTTACCCTGGTATTGCTTTGAATATATCAGACTGTACTGTGTCGTTTGTAGTGGAGATATGCCTTTAAAAGAGCCAGTCTCGGCTATGTGATCATAAATCATTGATGTGGAGACGGGAGATGCCGAGGATATATACATTGCCCGTAGCAGATTGGAGATCACATCAACCTGTCGGCCACGACAGGTTTATTCTCCTGTTTAGAATGACAAATCAGTTTTTGAGCGGAATTATTCGTTTGCACCGTCAATTGTATAATCTTCCCCAATGTACTGTGAGAATGTACTAGCACATATCGCTCATTATGTGTTCGCGGACCTCCTTTGTAACAAGGTATTTCAGAGCAAAGGCATATACACTTCTATTAATTGTAAGGGCATAATTACTGCATGTCTCATGTATTACGCCTACTATTTGAGTAGACTTAGTAGTAAAGAGCATTGAAAGTGACACCAATGGTAGCAATCTCCACATCAGACTAACTACACTGCCGAGTTACTGGCCACAGAGAGCACAACTTTTGCTAGGAATCTTATAGGATAATATATTTATGTATTAGGATAATTTAATATTAGTAGTCTATTCTGGTAATCGCTAATCCCCCGTTACATCCCAACAACCAGCCTAACCCCGGACAAGATAAAGTAAATAAAGATGCATAAATCAAGCTTAGATATATAAGTACTAAGTATGAAGGGCGGACGCTAAGCCCCTCCCACAGCAACTTGAATCTTTTTCCAAGGTTCACGTCTACAAGAAGAAATGGGGGTGAGTAGATTGTATCATCATCTGTTAGCCGTAGGTGTAATACAGCTGCCTATTTACTAGCTGATATAGTTGGACGATGGATCCTCTGTTGACAGGAGCACTCACGTGAATATGACGTAACATCATCTTCGATTTTAGTTTGATTTCTTTGAGAGAGTCTGGGCTCTCCGTCTTTATCCCCAACTTCGACCTCACTTGCTGACGATGTACTTTTTGGACTATCTATGAATCACTAAAATGAGAAAGACATTGCTTCTTGTTTTTATCCACGGCTTCCAGGTATGACTCCCCACTACACAGCCTTTCATTACTGGATCGTTTTACCCCGCCCGTGTCAACATTGTCAAACCAGTAGATCCAGGACGCTGATAGACCTGTCATAGGGAGATGACGATACCTTCGGAAAATTTCCGGAGCACGTACGTGCACTCCTCGGTCGTGCGCTTCCTGCTATAACCGTCGCTACAGCTGTGTATCCTAAGTACCAGACCAGAGGAGAGCTGAAAGAATGTGTGGGCCAATTTCGAGAATGGTATGTCGTGCTATCCACTGTGACATTTCAGATCACTGATAGTGTCTCTTCACTGCAGGTTACAGAACCAAGTCATCGATCTGGAAGTTGCCAACCGAACAGCCTCGCCTACCGTTGATCCTTCAGTTCATGTCTTCCTAGTTGGGCACTCGATGGGGGGCATTGTCGCCGGAGAAACGCTTCTTCTTCTGGCTTCGGAGCAGCCAATCCCTGCCAAAACCTCTTCCGCAGACTCGCAAACCGTCGCCAACTCACAAATCCTCGAATCTCGCTCATTCATGTTTCCTCATATTCAAGGAGTGCTTGCATTCGACACGCCGTTCTTGGGAATTGCCCCGGGAGTTGTTTCATACGGTGCAGAAGGACAGTACAAGAATGCTACGACTGCGTATACTGCGATCACGGAAGTAGCAGGCTTGTTTGGTTTTGGGGACAACAGTGGCTCATCTACCAAGGCAGCAAGCGCTAATCAGGGGGCCACAAGCAATAAATCCTTGCCTCCACAGCAGGCTAGTGCTGCCACTCCGTCTTCAGATGCTGCGGCGACACCATCTTGGCAGCGGTGGGGTCGGTATGCTATGTTTGCAGGGGCCGCAGGGGCTGTGGCTGCGGGAGGAGCGGCTGCAATGTATTCCCAACGCCAGCGCTTGACTGATGGATGGGGTTGGGTTTCATCTCATCTTGCATTTGTTGGGTGCTTGGCTCGTCCCTCAGATCTTCGTCACCGCATATCACTCTTGTCCGAGGTACAGAGGGAGCGCGGAATCGGCTGCACCAATTTCTTTACAGCCTTGGGCAAAAACGCAACCTCGCTGGTAGAGACCTCGAGCCAAGGAAAAACATCACTGAGTCAAAGAATCATTCGCTCGAAATACCGTACGTTCTGCACCCTCCCTCCTGAAGTGGAAAACGAAGATGCCGCGTACGACCCGAAAGCAGGACTCGGATGGGTCAAAGCTGTGAATGATAAGGCAGCAGACGAAATTAAGGCGCACGTTAGCATGTTTTTACCAAAGGAAAACCCTGCTTTTTATGAACTGGTCAATGAAGCGTGCAAGATCGTGGCGGAGTCGATCGACCAGGGATGGTATTCGACCGCGACGGGGCCTGTAGAGGAAGTCGATGGCGACCTGCCGCGGACCGAGACCGCCGGGACCCCTGCCAACCATGATAGTGGCTTCATGGATGGTGAAGATGTCGTAATTGTGGAATAAAAGCTACGATTGGTCGTCGAGTCTTTCCAATTTCGAGCGTAACTCGCTTACGCACCCTATTCTCGGGAACGCAGGACGACCGTTGGGGCCATCTGCGAAGGCCTCTGCAGAATTAAATTCGAGCTAATTATGCCAGTCGGCGCAGCCGACGCATGATATCGCTTATGTCGGTTCCATCCTTTCCGGTGTTACACCCCCTATTCCACATGGATTGCACCTTGGTAGTCGAGGGGTCAAAGAATGGTGCGATAAATAGCCGTTACAATAACAAGGTGGGGAATCGAAATCATGTTGTTAATATAACCACGGACTGTCTCCGAAATCGCCATGTCTTTCCAAATTCCCACTCAAACCATCACGGGACCGAACTGTGGGGATGGAAGAACGGTCACAGATCCCCTGCTCCACCGGTCCTTGTCCTAGGCTCCTGGCAGTTGCGGAACTATTCTCCTAGGCACATTAGCGACACCACAATGGTCTCTCCATTCGTTATTCCCGGCCAAGCACCAGGGCCAACACTACCCGGTGACATTCATTGTTCACCTTACACTGCAGGGACGGCGGTTTTGCACAAAAGGTGATATATGTCATGTGACATGTCAAAATTTCAATGATGCTGAGGTTTGAGGCAAACAGGAGATTCAAAGAACAGCTTCAATCACTTTATTTGTGTAACTATTTTAGATACAGAACTGAGTTGGCTTCTTATCCACTGTACACATCACACGAAGGGGTCAGTAAATATCAAAGATAACGTCGTATAAATCAACGCTACCGTCACATGGAGAATTGAAAGAAAACATCGTCGAAAATGTAACAGTCGAAGTTCCACACATGACTGCAAAACGTTACCAAACAAAAAAAAAAGAAAAGAAAAAGACCAGGATATTCAAACACGCTTAAACCCAGGCATCAACTCGTTAGGCCGCAACAACGCGAATCAATGACTAACTTTGAAAGACGAAAAAAAAAATTCAAATAAATAACCCTTGAGTAAGATCGTCACCTCAAAATATAGTTAGTTATCGAACCTAATAGTAATTAATAATTGTGACTGTTATAAGCCGACGCTCGGTGGTGATACATGCTTCCGGCGTACTCCGAATTTGTGTCCTGGTAGACTGTTGCGCGACGATCTTCTTCCGGAAGAAGTTCCTTAACCTCCCATGTATTGGGTTTGATACCGACGGAGAATTCGAGGTCTTCCTTCGTAATGTAATCCCAGAACTGGGGATGATCAGCACCCGCATACATTAAGTGTGGAGCAGGGTTTAGATAATAGAAACTGCAACAAACGTACCTTGTAAACCATCATGACCGCCAACAGATTACAGATAGTCGTAAAGAACAGACCGTCCAAGTAATGCTGGACATTCTCGCAGATGGTGTCACTGAACGCGTAGAGGAGCACTTGACCGCAGATGAAGACTAGGAGGCCGAAGGCGATATGACCGAGAGGCCAGCGGTCTTCGAGCGTGTTCATGACCAATAGGAGTTGCATGATGAGGTAGACTGCTATACAGATCGCGTTGAGGATGTATAGTACTACAAACATGCCGACAGTGTTGGTAGGACTGAGCCCGCCCCATGACTTGAACGTCAGGAGGGAGATGACGAATGAGATGGCGAACATCACTGTGGAGGTTAGACGGAGGAGCCAGACTGAGAGCGCTGTTCCATCCTCGTAGAGCTGGAATCCCACGAATCCGTTGACGAGTAGGCTCGTGCATAGGGCGGAGGTAAGGCCATTTTGCACAGCGACGAAATAAGGGAATGGGCCGCTCCTGGGCGGAACCACCCCAGCGTCGATGACCAGGGAGCACATTGTTAGGAGCATATAGATGTAAAAGAAGGTGATGATCTCCTTGCGACCTGGGTAGTAGTGCATGGGATTAGTGGTTGGTCTCCCATTTTGAGTAAATTGCAATTGGGGCGGGTTTACGTACCGACCGCGGTGAACTTGGACCTGATGTGTAGGATCATAATGACTGTCATTGCCAGCGCTACGATATGGACGAAGGATGCGGCGCCTTCAAAGATGATTGTGTTGGCCAGTTCGATGTTTCGCGCATAACAATTGGGGATGATGCCGGTTGCGCCTGATATCGAGGACGCCGGGCCCACGAGGGAGCACAGCGGTAGTGCTGCCTTCTGACAGATCGTGTCAAAATCACCGAACCCCATTTTGACCGCCCGTTGAACCTGGGTGTGGTATAGCTGTGAGATTGTTTGGGTCGTTCGATGATATCGCAAGATGAGCGGATCCGAGCCGTCTCCACAACGACGGACGGAGACGGGTTTCCAGTGCTCCAGATAGGACTCCCGCGGCGTCTACTGGAGGGTCTGCAACGAATGACTGGCGTATGCCGGGGAAGGAAGCAGGACGAGGGAGATCCCGACAGTGAGGCGACGACTATCAGCGTCTGACGAGGGATTTTGGACTTGTTTCTCCTGGTCTGAGGCTTCTGGAACCAGAATCACGAGGTACGCTAAATCCAGATCAAGGCTAGCCTAGATAAGCTTAGTCCCATGTTGCTATTCTGGGATTAGTGTGTCTCCCCAGATAGGTCACCTTTGCGCTAGCCCATTTTGGTAACTTGTTTATCTGGGCCCTAACACAGCGCGCTAACCGCGTCTGGTTAGGTTGGGGAAGCCTTTGCTATACAAAGTTCACATTCTCCAGAGATGTCGAATGAGGCCACCGGGAGGTCACAGACAAGCCTGGCCATGCAAGTGTGGCCGCATGAGTGATCTAGGCAAAGGGTATGTGCCGTGCACAGTTTCTTGTATTATTGGTCTTGTTTTCCCCTGCGATAATTGCCTATAGGCAACGAAGCATTTGACCCCGGTTCAAAAAAGTTGCCAAGAGTCTTAGTATGTTCATGTATTCTTCCTGGCAAGAGAAATTACCACGTAGGAAGTGGTGAGAGCCAAAATGTGCAGATTGCCTGCCACACTTTCAAGATAGCAAGACATCACTGGAATTGTTATGTACCGTCATATACTAAATACCGGGCGGTAGTTTGAAGCCGGTAGGCACACAAAGACATTTTGACAGGGGTCCATGTTTTCTTTTCTTTTCTTTTGTTTTCTTTTTTCTTTACTAAGCCCAACAGAACTGACTGTCCTGGCACATGATTGACGGTAGACGTAAAAAGCAATGTTAGCCCGAAACCAAGTCAGGAAAGCCGATCCACTGTCAATGTGGTTGAAAAATACCACATACCTCTGCATCTGAGTGGCCGCCAACTTCAGGGCTGGAGGTCTTAGCACCTTCTAGAATGAGTATACCGCTTTGGGCGGAGATTACTGACCCTGTCGAGTGTCTGTATGGATAAGACCATGGAAATGTATTACATCACATCTGCGGAGTGGGAGAAAAGTTGAAACGAGCTTCCCCTAAAGTTTGCAAGGCATCGAACCCCACATGCATTGTCCTTCTTTCTTTCTTTCTTTCTTTCTTGATTATTCTTTTTCTTTTCCCCTCCTTCCCCTGCAACACCCGATTGTCCCCGGACTGTGAGTCACTTGACCGATGTATCTTTGTCACTCGTTGAGGTTACCGTTCTGGTGATATAATGCCATTGTCAATCTTATGACTAGCACCGCCGTTGAGTCTTAGGTAGCTAATACTGATTATCTGATGCCTATTATAACAGTGGGCCAATTTAACTTTTCTCGAAGCCGTGGATCGATTCTTCGTTAGCCGTAGTCAAAGCCCGACGGAGGGCTGTCGTAACCTTGACAAGACATGCCGTACTCCCAGTGGGCCACTCTCCCGCGACATCCTTCTGGAAGGATGATTCGGATTTGACTCCCCCCCCCCATCGTATACTTTGCAAGAATTTTCTACTTAAGGTTCAAATGGAAAAGGCAGAATCACCGTGATTTTCTTGGCATACTGATTCTTCAACCAGCTTACGTATGCGATATCAATCACCAACGGCGGGTCATGCTCTCTTCCCGTCTGCGGATCGATGCAACTATCTTATGATATCATGGTTCCTTGACCGATGGGGCTAAGATCATAATATCATAGACTAAGGAAAGAAAAATAACAGTGATAACAAAAAAAAGAGGATAATAAAATTTAAACCAGTGGTCGGATTTAGTTCCGAGCCACGGATTCAGACCCTGAGGCACCAACCGGATGTTTAAACTTTGAGCCCGAACGGCACTACGCTATAGTTAGTACCATTCGGTGAATTTTATGGCTCCAAGTGCGTTTAGTGAAACCCGGAGAAAAACTACTCAAGTCACAGGAGTACTTACAGGTGTATTTCCCGGTTATACGGAGTAGATTAGGGTACGAGCCGATCTGTTACTACGGCGCCGAAGCACTCCGGAGTAGAAGTAGTAGGTCTAAGAAGACGGGAATATGCATACAGTTCAGCTTAATCGAGTCACTTTCATCAGGGGCTGAGTCTAATTAAAGGAGGCATATGGGTACCCAACACTTTTGACTCAGTTTTCTCTCTCTTCTTTTTTGCTTCCCTTTTTCTTTTTCTTTTCCCTTTCCTCTTCCTTTTCTTTTTTTCCCAGAAAAATGACGCTGTGGAGCGGAAGGAATAGGACCTGAATTCCACCGGGTCAGGCACCATGAACCTTACGATATTCACCCAATGAGAAACCTACCGCCCATGCGCAAAATATCTGGAACGCTAACCAAACGGGCTTTGTCGGATATGATAATGTAATTGATTCAATTGCCTCACCATTGACAATGAATACATAACCCAGGTTTAGGTGTCTAGCTTCCAAGGTTGTGGGTGGTCTTGGCCCCCTAGAGGAAGAACTGTGGAGGAGGGTCTTCAACAGTGAGCAGGACAATCCCAACGGTTTCGTGCCGTTACATCGAGACTCACTGATCGGATTAACCTCCACCGATGTTGTTTGCTTTAGACCTACTCCAGACTTGCTGGTGGCCTTACCCACGACACGTCTAGGACTTTGCCGTCAGTCATGCATGAAGATCCTAGTTAGCGCCACGTGTAGATGAAGCATCAACGGCTGCGAGGGACCACGTCGATCTCCCATTGCCCCGATCGGTCCTAAAGCAGATGAGGCTTCTCTTCCCTTGTGTGGAACTTCCTCAAACGTTACTAGAGAAGTTAGCTGCCGCGTTGTTAGTCTACATCCTTAGTTTCACTATTTTCTAGATTGCTGTGCAGTTCCAATGACGCTTCACGGAGATGGGCCGGTCACCTTGCAGGGATATTTATTTTATTTTTATTTTTTCCCTTTTTATTTTTTATTTTTTTTTCTTGTTCTTGATGCCAGACTACTTCAATACTCTGAAAACGGATCGTCGGGCATTACCTTCTTTTTTGTATTTTGTATTTTTTATTTTATTTCCCTTGTAATTTTTGGATTTTTATTTTATTGAATAAATAATAAATGGATTTCTAATTTTCTTCACTCCCCTGTCTAACCTTTCGGCCGCCGGCTTGTGATGGGCCACAACCCTGGTGGTGCTCTCTAACTTACTAGCAAACAAGCCCATGCTGTAGTTGCCCTCCATGGGCACCGTACATATATTATCATTCTTCCTCCCCTGCCTCATGTGGCCTATATTGATACAATTGCCTTTTACAAACCTATTCAGCACATCCTCTTTAAATACCTTATCTCCCTCGTACCTCCAGATCCGGGATCACCTTCACATCCGAGGTAGGGTGGCATTGTTCGATATACCTACTATCACAACCATCCACAATTGAACTTCTCTATCCTCCCGAAACTTGAGACGGCGTTGCATTCCTCAAAGACCATCCCTTCTCTGGCGGCAGTGGATGCGGCAGCAATGTGCAACTACTTTAAAAATTTCTACATATACAGCACTTGCCGTGAGCCCAATGTGCATTTCATCCGGACATCCATCGATGGGTCTAAAGAGAACCGATGTAACGACAGTCCCCACGATCGATTTATTGTGGTGGTCGGCAAGTGTCGACTGTGTCGTTGAGTTTATATGGATCGACGTAAACGAAACACTATACGGCCTCAACGGCCTCCTCCGAATCTAGAAGGCGGCATATCTTCACGGCATATCTCACGAATTCTTTCGAAAACCACCATCATCAATTCCTCGATTGTTCCATGAGCGCCTTGATTTACTCTCTCACCATCTGCATGTCCCACTTGTTCGTTTCTCTAATTTTTCTTTTCTTTTTTTCCCCCTCCCTCTTATCCCTTATTTTTTTACTCTCTTTTTAATTCCTTTCCCTCTGCACCTTCGAGAAATTCCAGGTGAAATTTCTCTGTCACATGTATATTGGATTTGGCACGGGTATCATGTATGGCGCTTTCAGGAGTCAACAGAAGAGGGTCGGCTTTTCCCTTTTTTCCCTTTTTTTTTTTTTTTTTTTTTCCTTCTCTCTCTCTCTCTTTCTCTCTTCTTCTCCCTGTTTAGATCCCATTCCTGTTTTACCTCAATCATGTTATACACAACTCTGTTTTTGTCACAGAAAGGAAAACAGACTAAATTTACCACCATTGTTGCCTATTTGGATGGGTTCCTATTGCTGGTGTCTTTCCGAACTGCTTTGTCCTTTTCTTCACCCCCGCGGTGGGAACGGAATGGCTCGCGAGGGGAACCACTTTGACGAGTCAGAGAAGCGGGAACTAGGGGGAAAGCGCTACACAAGAGGCCGCCTTGACCTTCTCCTAGACTAGCATGAACAATACTCAGGTTTGAGGGTAAAGAATAACGCTATACCTCTAGCCACCGCTTGTTATCAACCAGTGGTCATTGCACTTGACGCAATGAGGTGCACGATAGCAGAACCGTTGCCTGCCAAGCATATATCATCCTGCATCTACGGAGGCCCAGACGGAGTCTGTGCTCCCCCGTCCTATGACGAGGTAAAGCGACCGGCCGAGTGGTGTGGATTCTAGTGGTTCTTAGAGCCGGCTAGTTGTCAGACCGAAGGCTGGGCTGCATTATTTCCCCCGATGGACGGTCGACAGTCGCACGGGAAACCAACAAGCTTGAGAGATACGAACAAGGATTAATGGGCTTGGTCTTGGTTCCCTACTTTCTTTTCTGGTTCTCTTTGTTCTACCCTGGTCTTGGAACCCCATGAACCCTGTTAAGGGACTGCCATTCTGTGATGGACACGACCGATGCAATGTGATCAACGCTGCCACCCCACCCCCCATGTGGTGTAGTAACACAAGAATAT